CACCTTTTTTGGTGGGGGAGGGGGGTAATTAGGAACGTAGGATTTAAAATTGTTTGCCCCCCCTGAGGAAATACACTTCCGGCGCCCCTGGTTCGGCGCCAATCCCAGTGCCTCTGCGCGAAGGCCACGTGTTGTAGTCCGCTAATTGTAGCTGCGATCCGAGGCCGAGCCAGTCGGGCGGAAGACTTTCTCTGGCGGCCCTCCTGACTGTCGATCAAAGCACTTTCCAGATTTAATATTGACCGTGATGATAAATCCCGCCTAATAAGAGGTTTTTATGCAAATAATCCAATCTGAGTTGCCCGGCGATGTCTTCCCCCACCCCCACCGCTCGCCCCTCCGCAAATTATTTCCATTCAATGAAGCTCCTCAAGAAGCATCCGGCGATCGAGATTTCCCTCTCGCTCCCGTCTTTGCGTATTCTTTCCCTCCCTCCCCCCCTCTCTCTCTCTCTCTCTCTCTCTCCGTCACGACCACCCCGCCGCCTTTTCAAAGTTTGGCGCGCGTGCGATGCGCCGCACCCGGACCGGAACCGGGGCAAATAAGCGCGAAAATAAATACAGTGATGCGACGTCGGCGACGTCGGCGACGATGATGACGACGGCCAGGTGCGAGTCCGAGACTGAAACAATGCCGCAGATGTGCACGCACGGTAGTTAGTTATGACCGGCGATTAAAAGCAGGGGTGCTGGGCGTCGTCCATCCCCTGCTCGGCCGTGTCCGGGCCGCGTCCGGGCCGGTGCAGTGCAGCCCGAGGGCCAAGGCCGCCACGCCGCGCGCACCATATGCCTCGCGCACCCCGCCACCCTGTCTGCGTCTCCGTCGCGCGCGACGCCCGACCCGGAAGCCGCGGCGCTCTCTCTCGCACACCGGTCAGTCCGGTTTACCCTTCTTCGACTCATCCTCCTTTTATTTTTCGGCCGGGCCGTTCCGTTGTGTTTCCATTGAGTGGACAGGGCAGGGCCGGCACGGCGGCCCCAACCCTTCTCCACGGCCTCGGGTCGCCGGACGGGCAGCTGGCCAGTACGGTCACTGCGGGGGGAGGGGAGGGGGAGGGGGAGGGGACGGGGGAGGGGGAGGGGACGGGGAGGGGACGGGGAGGGGGAGGGGAGGGGGAGGCGTGCCGGTGCAACGCGCGCGCGGATCATGTTGACCCTTGACGCGGCGCGGCGGCGTTCCATCCGCGTCGAGGCCGTCAAGGGCGAGGAGCACCGCGTCATCGTCATCCTGGACTCGGAGCGACACTCCTCGGGGTGCTATGTCGTGCACGGGGATGGCGGTGGTACGGAGGCACGCGCGTGGCTCGGCCGTGTGAACCAGGCCGCATCGCCGCACGGGAGTAGGTCTGGATCCAGGTTCGTTTCGGCGAAAAGGGTGTGCCGGGTGCACCCAGAATCGAAATTACTTTAATTTTCAGTTTTCTAAGGTTGTACATGTTGCGTCTCACTGGGCGGGCATCCTGAGTTTAGAGAGACAGCACCCTGCGTGCCCGGCCTGGGCAAGCCTCGTGGCGGCCTCGTCCGCGGCAACGCGTCCTGATCGTCACCGTCCTCTGTCCCCCCGATGACCGGGCCGGCTGCGATGCAGCGGGCAGGCTGCACCGTGGCGGACCGCCGAAAACCCTTCCACTGGACAAACCAGTTTGGCGAGTGGCGATGAATGGGCCGTTGGCCGGCGGGTCCGCGCTGCCCGGGCAGGCCGCTGTCCCGCTCGCCCTGCTCGGGGTGCTGCGCGGTGCTGCGGGAAGTGGACATGAACCTGAGACCCGCGCATCGCGTCGCGTCCCCTCCCCCTGCCTACCTGCAGCGCGGGGCGGCGCGGGCCGGCACATCCCATAGTCCCGCCGTGCCTGGCCGTGCCTGGCCGTGCCGCCGTCGACCTGCTGCACCGCCTTTTGTTTCAGTAATAACCTTTCTGCGCTGCGCCGCGCTGCGCGGGAAGGAAGGAAGGGTTGCGGAACGTGCGGAACGGAACGGAACGGAACGGAGCGGGCGGTGCAATGATGATGAGAAGAATGCCGGGCTGCTTGGCCTGCTCGGCCTCTGTCTCGCCGCCGTTCGCTCGCCGCCCTGTCTCTGTCTCGCTGGCCTTTGCTCGCCGTCCGCAATGCAGTGCAGGGGCGCAGCGCGGCCGCCCAGGACCGCGGCATTATCCGTTCAGCGCACCGATTCGTCGCTCTGTCTCTGTCGCACTCACGGGGCGTCCCGTGGGGGTGCGAGAGAGACAGAGCGACGGAACGACCCTTCGCTTTCGCTGCGGCAGCACTCTGGGCGGATCGCACGGATGAGACCTCCAGCCCCGCTCCGACTGTCCGCCCTCGTGGCGGTCAGCAGCGTTGTACTTCTCCACAGCAACTTGCCCAGTTTTAAAACACTTTCGCGAAAGATTTTTGGCACGGATGTCGTTGTCGACCGTTCGTCCACTTCTTCCGCGCCGCCTTACGGACGGTCCCCGAGGTTGTTTTTTCTGACCGCGATGATGACGGTGATGGCCGGCCGCAGTGCACCTGGCCGGGCCGGCGGGGCAGTCCGGACGGTTGACCACCGCGTCGGATGGCCAGCGCTTGGTGCTGCAGCACTGCAGCGCGGCAGAGTCGACCCATCCCAAATGATGGCCTAAAACAATGCGTCGGATGCACGGCCGCTGCCCATTGTCCAGCTTGTCCAGCTTGTCCAGGGTTGTCCGGCGAGGCACAGGCGAGGCCGGGACGCGGCCGGACAGCGGGCGACAGCGCTGCACCCCGGCCAGTGCACACGCTGCACTACACCCTGAAACAATGGAAGTATTACGGCACCGTAACCAGACGCCGGGCCCGTCTGGGTGATGACGGCCTCCTTGGCCGCGGCTGGCGCGAGGTGCGGGGCGCGGTGCATGCGGAGGGTGCGGCCGCGCGGTAAGACAATGGGAAGATGATGCCACGCCGCGCCGCGCCACGCACCCCACAGTCCAACTGCCGCCCGGGGTGTCCTCGCCGTCCTCGTGTCGAAACGCCGCGGCAGTGTTGGCCCACTCTGCGCGACTCAGCGGATTTGGCACGCCGACCGACGCTACCCCGCGCGCGAGAGACGCCGCGCGAGTGGGGTATCGACGAAGGGCCCAAGCCGCCGGCCCGCGGTCCCTGCGTCCTTTCCCACGGACAGGAAGTGAGGCTTCCGGAGGGCGAGCTTGCTGCAGGAGGACCGGGAGGCCCTGGAGGACCAGCCCCCGGGCGAGGTGTCGGTCTTCCTCCGCTCCCTCTCGAAGCAGCTGGACACCGCGGAGGCATTGTCTGACCAGGCCGCCTCGTTCGGCGTGCGTGTGCGTGTGCGTGCGTGTGTGTGTGTGTGTGTGTGTGTGTGTGTGTGTGTGTGTGCGCGTGTGTGTGTTTAATAAGATTCTCCCACCGTCGCCACTAATGATGTAAAAACTCGTCGACGCCCCGCTTCCGTCGCCGCGTCGCCGCGTCGCCGCGCCCAGTCGGCGCTCGTCCAACGCCAACGCCACGCCACCGCCAAAACGAGCCAAGTTTGAAACTGCACGGGGCAAAATGATGCGGCGGCGGAGTTGCGCGCGCGGGCGTTGTTGAAGCGGGACAGTGCAGGCCTACGCCGAACAGCGAACGCTGCCGTCGCCCCGTCCTGCTCGCACTCGTCCGGCTCGGCGTGCCGCGGCGTGCCGTGCGGTTGCGAGAGAGACGTTGTTGGGGATCGCAGACAGCGGGAGCAGGCGCGGGCGGTGGAGCGCACGTGGATAACGAACGTGTCATACCTACGGCGTACGTAGCCACGGCCGCGCACAGTGTGCCGCACACGGCCAACGAGTCGAACCAGCCAGGCAGGCAGCCAGCCTGGCGGCGTGTGCGTTGTCACTCCGCCGCTCGCGCCGCTCGACTCAAGACAACAACAACTGCGCCATGTCATTATGACGGGCCGAACAATGGCGTGGCGTGGCGTGCGCCGCGAGGATGTGGGGCCGCGCCGTGCCGTGCCGTGCCGTGCCGTGCCGCGCCGAACGAACCAACTTGGATCGTTATTTATTGGGAAGAGGGGGAAGGGGCGCACGAGTGTGTGTGTGTGTGTGTGTTTGTTGCATCAGCGGGGGCGCAAACAACCCTCACAAAAATGGAGCGGTTCGCATGGACGTAGTTTTATCGGAGGTTTGACCGGGTTCCCCGTTTCCCAGTGGACTCTTCACCGCACGGTGTGGTAGCGGCGAAATAGATTCCGGAGAGAGTGGCCATGCCGGCGGGGGAGACGCCGCTCCGACGCCTGCGACGCCTGCGGGAGACGCGGCGGCCACGCGGTCACGCCACTGCGAAGCGTGCTGCCTACCCCGCGACAGGCGGGCGTTTGGCACCGGTACCGCTTCGCTTGGCTGCGCTCCGCGCTCCGCTCTGCTGAGGCGGCAACTCGCAGTGGCGGTGGCGGCACGGGGTGGCGAAACGACGTGCGACCTCTCGACGACGCGGCCAGCGCGGCCAGCGCGACCAGCGCGCAGTGGGCCAGGAGACCGGTGGAGGCAGCCAAAATTTTAGACGCATTTTGAGCTCCAGAGTCGCTGAATGGGACTCGAACCGAACGTGTGACCCCACCATTGGATTCCTCGTTCGGAGAGCAATCCATTGGTGGGCTCACACGTTCGGTTCGAGCCCTGTTTCGCGACTCCGGAGCTCCAAACCCGTCTAGAGTTTTGGCCGCCTCCACCGGTCTCCTGGTCCACTGTGCGGTGCGACGCGGCCCGGTGTTGCAAAGTCACGCCGTTTAACTGTCTTTGTGTGTCCGGCCAGTCCAGCTGCGCGCTGCACCGCCGCCTCGCCCGCCTTGCCCAACGCAAACATCTCACTGCCGCCGCTGCCGATTAATTACAAAAGAACAAAAGAGTCTGCCGAAAAAAACGAGAAGCGGCAGCGCGACCTGTTCCGCTGACCCCCACCGCCACCCGGGCCTCCCCCCTCCCCTCCCCTTCCCCCGTCCTGCTCGCTGTCCAGCCGGAAGTAACGCCGCATGTGTGTGTGTGCTCAGGTGACGCAGGCGTCGCAGTCTCCTTGGTGTCGTCGGCGAGCCAGCACCGCGCGCGGTGGACGCAGAGCCGCGGACACGTCAGGCACTAAGTGCCGTCCCACGCCGCGCCACGCCACGCCAGGCCGCGACAGCTGTAAGCACTGCAAGGAAGCTGCCGAGTGCCGCTCTGGACACGGCGTCGACTTTTCCCCCGGAGGAAGAGAAAAGTGTCACGGAGACGTCGCACTCCGCCACGCGGACGGGGCGGACGGGGCGGACGCGGCGGGGGTCACTGCCTGCCAGACGAGCCGGCGTGTTCCCGATCAGCGACCTGCACTCTGTGACGGTGCACGTGCGTTTGAGTGAAGCGAAGTGAAGGCTTCCGCTGTGTTTCAGAATGTGATTGGTTGTTGCAGACGTCGGCGACGTTGGCGACGTCGGCACTGGCTGAGGCTCGGTGGCGGCATTGGCGCGGACGGAGACGGCCACATTCGTCGGCCACTCCTTGAACTAGCCGGTAAGAAACGTAAGGGAGGGAAGACCATCCGCCCGGGAGGAGCAGCTTTCGTCGCTCTATCTCTCTCGCACCTTGCGAACCGCCCCATGAGTGCGAGAGAGACAGAGCGACGAGGGAGCGGCCGTGAGGCGCCGCGGCGTCGGGAATAAAATGCTTCTTAGAATAAAATAACAATTTCCACAATTCGCCGCGGCGGGAAGAATGCCGCTTTGAAGGGCCAAGCTGGAACGGGCGAGGAGGCCGCCGCGCCGCGCCGCCGCCCGCGGGGCCTAGCAGCGCCGCGAGAGAGAGGGACAGAGAAAGATGGAGAGGGGTGGGGGAGGCCGATACTGTCCAGAAGGCATGGCAGATAACGCCAAAGAAATAAGACATTTCCATCTCAATTTCTCCGGGCCACCCAGCGGGGCCCTGGGCGGGGCGCGGGGCGGGGCGGGGCGGGGCGGGGCGGGGCGCGGTGGGGCTGGCAAAGGCGTGGCGGGGCCAGCGAGGCGCGCTGCGGAACGAGCACGGGCCCGCCCCCACCCCACCCCACCACGGACCTCCAGGGGATGATTCTCGACAGTTTTATTTTTAATATTTCTCTTCTCGGGCTCCTCGGCGCTGCCTCGGCCTCGGCGCCGCGCCGCCCCCGCCACCCTCTCGGCCTTGCAGCCGTCCGTCCCGTCGCTCTCTCTCCCTCTCTCCCTCTCTCTCGCTCGCTCGCTCTTTCTCCTCCCCTCCCGATCTCATCAAGTTTTTAATCCTTCGGAAACTCGGGAGATGAAAGTATTCCTTTGTCTCCCAACTGTCTTCTGGGAAATTGAGGATTCGACTCGAGATAGTCCCCTCCCCCTCCCCCTACCCTCCTTTTCCTCCGCCAGCATTCGCGCTTTTTCGTTTCTCTCCCCCGGAGTGGAAGGGGTGCGAACGGAATGACCGATAATTGGGCGAGTTCATTGTGAAAGGGGGAGGGGGCTCCTTCACGCCGGAAGTGTCTTGACGGCCATCTTGAAAAAGCGCAAAGGAGGGAGAGAGAAAGAGAGGAGAGTGCGGCGCTGCCTCGCGCTGCCTTCCCTGGGTGGGCCTGCAGGGCAAAGAAGGCAAATCGAAAACGGCAGCGCGACGCGCCGCGCGAGTCCACGTCTTGCTGTCCTTTCTCTCTCTGGTACACGGACTGCAGTGGAGAAGGAAATGGCCCTGTCTCACGCACGCCGAGTATCAACGGTTGGCACTCCAAAACCATTACAGTCGATTTTTTTTAACGATTTTAAACTTTGTGCAGTTCTATGCGCGCTTATCTAGACACAAGTGGGAGCGCAATTTTAAAGACGTATAAAATAATGAATCAGTTTATTTTTGCTGCTGTTTTTAATACGTCTTATCTGGTAAAATATAGCCTCTTCTCACTCGGAAGAAGTATTTATGATGCACAGTATCCTAAGCATAATGCATTGCTTTTGCTGGATAAACGAGAGAATTATGACCTGAATTTTCATTCCCGAGAAGGTCGCAATAAAGTATCAAATCACGCTATAGACATATCGCTTTATCAGCGTGTCACAGAAAAATCATTTGTGGTAGTTTGGAACTGGAGTGCACATGTCGAAATAAGCATCACTGTAAATGTCTTACGGTGAAAGGCTGCACCAACATATTATGGTGGAGATTTTGTCCATAATACCAACGAAAATCGTCAATGAATTCTCAATGGAACTCTCACAGTGAATTCTCAATGGTGAAGTCAGCTGCTGCACCACCATATAGTAAGGAACATTTTCACCGTAATATGGAGAATCTTCACCGTACAACATTAGAGTGTACACATAGCTAGGATGTACGCGGGTTCACGATGAGATAGTACTGTCTTCAATCGGTCATAAACTTGGCAAAAGGTGAAACTAGTAAAAATGCTGGCAAGGACGGTCCGCCATAGGCCGATGGTGACAACGCAACGCACCCCACTGGGCCTGCATCCCCCACCCGCTCCACCCCCGGAGTGGGGGCGGGGCAGGCGGGGCGCGCTCCGAGGGTGGTGGGGGGTGGCGGGGTGGCGGTGGGGTGGTGGGGGTGTCGATGACACCCCCGACACACGTAATTAGCACGCTAATCCCCAGTGCGGGATGGTTTGACCGACTGGGCTGAATCTTTGAATTTCCCTCGGCATTTTCACTTTTTTTCCATGTCTTTCTTCATTACGTACTTGAAGAACAATTTCTCGTCCGAACAGCATCGCAGACTCCAGACGGTCAGGCAGTTTCAATGCAGCCTTGTTGCAGTGGCCCTTCTGCAAGGCAGCGTCACCTCGGCGAAGTCATCGAGTCGCATCGCATTGTCTCTGATGCTTTCCATTTCCTTTCTGGCGTTCGTCTGTCCGCCCGGACCGCGGCCTGCTCGCCCTGCCCGGCCCGCCCCGCACAGACCCCGTCGTCGGCATCGTGGTTGGTGTGGCCACGTTTGGTCTTTCAGTGGACCGGCACGTAGTCCCACTGTAGGACTTCACCGGCGCGCTGCCTTGTTGGGCCTTTGGGAATTTAGGTTTCTGAGGCGTATAGTTATCGGACACCACGGAAAAACAGTGTCAGGACTACGGTCAGGACCCGCTGGACGCGGGGCCGCCAGTCAGTGGCCGTGCCAAGCGGCGCGAATTACAAACAGCTTCCCGCCTCGCGGCTTGGCGCCTGGCGGCCTCGCGGGAGATTCATCTTTTCAGCTTGTTTTGCAAAACGCCACAACAATGCCCCTTCCGGACTCTCCGGACTCGGCGTCAGTTTCTGCCTTCTTTCTGAGCGTTCTCGCTGTAACGCCACGCCTCGCGTAGCCTCGCGGAGGCAGACGGTCGAGGGCCACCATTGTTCTGGTTTGTTCGCGTCGTGGTTCTGGGTTCTGGTTTTGGTGAAGCAGGGCGGCCGAACCCCGAATAAATTGCCGAGTTGGACACTGTAAGGACTCGCCGCACAACCAAGTGGAAACGAGGCTTTCCTCCCGGTTCAAAATAAATAGTTTTGGTTCATTATTCTAATCCATCATTTTTCGACGCTGTCTTATGGCGTCGCGCTGCTTCATTTTAAAACATTATTCCGCTCAAATCAAACGACGGCGGCGCGGCGCTTCCAGGCTCGAGACTCCGAGACGACGGCGTGCCTCCCTCCTTTCCACCCTCCCCTTCGAATCAAAATCTTTTTTATTGATTCATCCGCCCCGCTCCGCCGCGCCTCGCCCGCCGCCAACCCGCCTCCGCTCCCCTCTGCACAAAAATACTCCTCAACTCTCTTGAATGGCCGTGCAAAGAAAGAAAAGAGGGTGGGAGCGGGAGGGGGAGAGGCAGATTCGGTGGGTGGAATTCATGAAAGTTTCTCTCTCCTTCCCTCGCCTTTCCTCGTCCTGCTTCTCACTACTTTTTCGACCCTTTTTTCATTGTTCCTTTTTGTGATGGAGACATTTGGCGCAGCGCGCTTCGCGCTCAAGACGAAGAAGTGGGAGCGAGAGGTGGGGGAGGGAACGGCCATCATGGTGCTCTATCAGCAATCCTCCCCGCCCCCGTCGCCTCCCCGTCCCGTCCTTGAGCGCGTTGCATTTTAAACGTTTATTTTTCCACCCTTTGGAGCTGCCGCTCCACTGCGCCGCCCTCTTCTGATTATTTCTTTTGGCAGCAAAGCTTCGAAGGACGCCTCCAAGTCGCCTGGCCTAGGTTCCAGCCTCCAAAGTCACTCTCCTCTGAGTGAACGCAATTCTCACCCGAGCATTTCAGCCACGATGGCCGAGTGTCCCCTATCGCCCTCTCGTCACCGTGGCCGACTCATTTCCAGCCGAGCAAAACCGCTTTCCACATTCGTTCAGGGGCCGATGTCTCTTTATCCCTCTCGTACCTTAAGGAAAAATAGCAAACTGTTGCCTGAACCACTTTTGAAAAAAAATTGTATCGTTTTGTTGCAGGACGACGGGGATGAGGAGAATCTTTCGATAGAAATCCCGGATTTCAACGAGAGTATTTTGACTAATAAAGAGCTTTACCAGTATGAGTGTTGTGTGATGAAATTGCCCCTTCATTAGAAATCAAGTTGTGAACATCGTATAGGTCTCAAAGTTGTGACTTTTTGGGAAAAGGAAAGGCACAGAAAATACAAATCATGTGTAAGCACAGATTTAATGACAACAATAATAAACAATATAGTACATAAAAATGCACAGAAGAATATATCATCAAAACTTGTGGAATATGGAAGACAAGATTGATTACGTTACAGTAGATTGGTCACAAGCAACATTTGCTACATCATAATAATTTAACAATAAAATAAAATAAAACAAAACAAAAAAATAACAAAAAAAATATTTTATAACCACTAACATGAACATCAACAAATTAAGCAAGGTCATCAATAATCTGCAAGGCTCTTCTTGACAAAAAAAAACTGATTCTTATTGTCAAATTCACAATTTCCCATACACTTTCAGAAAGAAACCAACTTGTTTCTCTCAAGAAGACAAGAAGACAATGCCATAATGACTATTACAGAATGTTTTAAATATTTCACATCTTTCTTAGTGTCTGTGCTCTCCAGTCATCAAAGGAGCAGCAGCTAAACTTTTGATCCACAAAAAAATTGAATACTTAGATCAGTTTAGCTATATAATGAATTAATTCAAAGCATAGCCTATAACCATGAATAGTTTGGCTCTTCTCAATTATGCACACAATACTGACTGCCAAACACACTAAATGCCTTAAATCAAAGAATTGATACCGCATGGTACACCACTTTGGGATTTTCAATGTCACTTTTGCTCTTGATAAGCTTCAGCTCACGGTCAAAAACTGACAACTTTTCAGTATCACCTACAACAAGAAAATCACAAAAATATTTAATTCTTTGAAACAGGAGAAAAGGCTTAAAGGGACCAAAAATTATAGAAAAAGATACCTTTACAAGATGCTTCAGTACGCTGTAGCACAGCTTGTATAGTAGCAACAGTATACTCCAGAGATTGTTTTAAGTTATTGTGAGATCGCCACATCCAAGCCAAGAGAAGAGCAGAAAACAAATCACCGGTTCCTGTATATGAGCTCTTCAACTTTGGGAATGTTATCATAGCCTTTTCTTGTCTTCCATCTGCCCAAAGAATTTGTGTTAACAGTTACCTTTCAAATGACAATACCTATATTTAAATTTGCTGATGATATGTTATCTATTTACCTATTATTGCGCTCCCCAGGCAGAGGAGAGACTTTTCATCACATAATTCTGAAGATGAGATAACAACAGTCTTAGGTCCCATGCTGTGCAATGTTGCAGTTGCTGCCCAAACATCATCAATGGTTTTTAGAGTTATTCCTGTCAGTAGCCTAGAAGCAGAAACATAAGTTTTCAGTCAGAAAATTTAATTCAAAACAAACAAGAACTTAGCATCCAAAGATTGCCTAAGTTTACATGAAACTTACTCAAGTTCAAATTGGTTGGGTGTCACGATATTTGCAATTGGTATGATGGTTTCCTTGTAGACATCAATCAATTCTGTAGGGACATATATGCCTCTTCCAATGTCACCAATTACAGGATCACACACTTGAAAAGAAAGATACAAAATTAACTTAAGCTGAGATGAGTGTAAGCTGCTACCAGTAAATAATTGAAGCGCCATTAAAAATACTTACAATAAATCAAACCAGAATTCTTTTTACGCAGCTGAGAAACTATATTTGCTATGTGAGTTAAGAAAGATTTTGAACGACTGTACCCAGTCAGCAAATGAGTGTAAGTGCAATCAAGCCCATTATGAGCTAAACCCTCTGTTAGCTCAACTGAAAAGAATGCAAAGAAGTGTTATCACTGAACAGTGTACAACTGGGTACAGCTGCACATGCCAAGGATTTGCTGATACTGAAATAAAGAAACGGTGACTCCTCTAGAAGGCAAGAAGCGGCAGATAACTCACCCAGCTCTTGTTCAGCTAATACCTGTCCTTTCCAATAGCCATATCCAGTGTGGTTTGAGAACTGGACAGAATTGATGGCATCAACATCAAAGCCAAGAACCTAAGCAAAGAAAAACGGTCAATGATTAGGCATGCTTTGGTCCAAAATGGACTTAAACTAGGCGTTGACTCACCTGCAAGGGAAAAGTGGCACTCTTGTTTCCCACATAACCCGATACAACATGACTTTGGATGGACAGGACACGGGGGCTAGGGGCATCCATGACGGGGGCAGCACTACTGGCGAGACTGCGGCCGCGGCTCAAGTTGACGGGCACATGAGGAATGGGAGATAAGAGGCCAAAGACGCTCGCTTTCGTCAGGCTGGCTTGGCTGCCTTGGCTGGCTGCAGCCGCTGTGTTTACATTATGAAGGCACAGCCATAGCCGTGTGTTACGCAGCATTTGCCTCACTCAAAGTGCATTGCTGATCGCTTAAAGACACTTCTCAAAATGCAAGGACTGGAAACGTGGAATTCTCTGCGATGTCCCTCATCCTGAAAAAAAGTTGTCGATAAAACAACTAGTTGAAAGGCGGAAACGAAATTGGGTTGATTGGAGTTGGGAGTGTCTTCTGCTGGTGTCTGCTGGAAAGTAGCTCCAAATGTGCCAACTACTGTGAGCCAAACTAGTTCTCGGTTCATTCTTCAAGCAGAAAATTATGCATTTCTATGAACTTATTCTTAAAATATTAAAACCAATTAAAATTTTTTTCTTGAATGATCTCATCCCAAAATAATAAATGGGCACTCATTTAAAGGCTACGGCGTCTTTTAGAGCCATCAGCTGTTAAAATTAGGTTGGTAATGTTCTCACCGCTGTTAGGTTGTCTTTTTCGCAGCACCACGACGGGTCAGCCATTTTAGACTTACGCTGAGACCAGAGGACGTCGCCAAACCGTCCCAATTTTTGCCTGGAGCAAGGGAACGGCATTCCATTGGTAGGGTGAAGTTGTCTGGATATACTGCATGTTCCGTAGTGACTGTGAATGCATTTTTCATGCTGTTTTGTCGCGGCTTCGTGAATTGGTGTTGGACTCTCCAAGTCTGCTGACCACTCGTACTTTTGCCTTCTTTTGCTTTGTATTTTCTGTTTGTGAAGCTGTATTGATTGATTTTGATTCTTCTCATGCATCGTAATGACGTATTGCCAAGTGCCAACCCAGTCGCCCCATGCGCAGCCCTATCGGTAGAATTTCGATGACTGTCTGGTTGAGTGTAAGGTTATAAGTACCTAGTCAAGGACAGTTGCTGTGTGACTCTTTTAAATGTATGCTCTGGGGCATCTAAATTTTGATGTTTGCCCTGTGTTCGTGGCCTCACTACATTTCATTGGGGGAGCTTCTTGTTCTCTAAGAATCGCGTTCCCGTAACTGTCGATCAGCTAAATCACATTTATTCTTATCTACAATGTCATGGCTATACATTACCATCTCTTCGATCAGTTGATCCCCAGTTAATACCCAAGGAATTATTCTTTTTTATTATTTTTTTTCTGTTTAATGTTATTTTGACTACTGTTTCTGTAGCAGTAATATGCGTTTGACAGCCAGCCTTATTCCTCTCGATAAATGTTGCATTTAGTTTCAGTATCCCAGCTGCAAAACATTTGGTTTCTAGTCGAAACCCTTTCTCCCCTTTGCAAATGCATGAATCATCAAGATATAGCTTTCACATGAAATGTACTGAGCACTTTCCCATAGTTGTTGGTTTGGTTTTCATATTTGGTTACAGACAGTTAATTACTCACAAAATATGCCTATTTTGTTGCTTTTGGTTGCCTTAAACCTGTCATTGCTTTTGCTTGGACATTCAATCTCTTATGCTGCACATATGATGTAGTGAAATTGTCAACCTCAATCACTTTACTAAGTCAAATTTATCAAGTTCAAAGCATATGCTTCTCAGCAGTTTAGCACTTAGTACTTAAACAAAATGAGCTATTCCTCACCAAGCATATTTCACCTGCTGAGAATCATGTTGCTTGTTAGCATTAAGCGTACAATGATGGATTTTGGTTCAAATTTTCTGGGCATGGTGTTTACACCAGAAAGTTCTCTCTTTCCATAGGTGATTGCCATGGTGTATCATAGGTCGGATGGGGACACCACCCCTTCAGCCAGGGACCGAGCTCCACCCACTGCTCAGTCTATGCCTGAAGCTCATCAAGTAAATGCTTTCCGCAACGATGGGAGCTTTCTTGAAATGTTCAAGAGAATGCAGGAAGCCAATTCAAGTGCATCCTCAGGCAGTCCCAGTTTGAGCAAGAACTTACAGCCAGCAAAGCCAACAACCTCAGTCAGCCCAGTTAAAGCAGAAAGTGGACAGTCTGTGATGTCTTCAGATAGGGTTCATCCAGGCCCATCTGGAAATCCAGGTTCATCTGGAAATGCCAGTAGTGGAGACGAGAGTTCAAAGGAGGTTGCCAAGCGAGCTCCTCTAGTCGGCAAGAGACGAGGTGGGCGAGTGTTGCCCACAGGTGTTGTGAAGAAGAAACGTGCTGATGAGGAAGGCTCTGAAGAGAAACCCAAAGACGCTTGGTCTCTTTACATGGCTGAAGTTAAACGATACAAGGAAACTTCCTGTGAGGAGGATGGAAAGACAAGACCTCTTGTGAAATAAATATATTATTTTGCTTTATGTATGCTGAAACAGATGACTAATTTTAAGATTGTTCTTAAGTGCTGTTGCTGGTTACTGGCAATGCAAATTGTTTGTTATGTCGATCTCTTTAAAAATGTTAAAATAGTTAAATACATTGTGGAAATGTGGTTGTTTTGTTTTCTTCCCTGTTTCTGTGAGATTGAGAAGATGTTTTTCTTGTGTTGGTAAGTGAATCCTCATTGTTGGAGATAAAATCCATCATTGTATGCTAGTTCAGTTCCTTTGGTCTAACTGCAGCAGATATGCAATTTGTCATTTCAATCAGTGTATGTAAGTGTTTTGTCATCTGACCTCATTAAATGTACCATTATTCATGTGGCACTTCTAAAGCGAAACCTCATGACCATCAGGTCAAAGTGGAACATTTATGGTCTTTTTAAAATTCCCATTGGCATTGGCACTCATTCACTTATTAATTGAATTTTGTCATGGTAGGGGTTTTGTTTTCTCACTGATGTGTTCTGTTATCATTTTAGCGGGCCTTTTGACTTCTTTGTGTGTGTTCCAGATTAATCATGCCTCCTGCACTGGTGGAGTGGTATGTGGGCAACTTGAAGAACTCCAAGCCTGCCCAAGCAGGCCACCATACTGTCCCCACAGATTCCAGGTTCCCCAACATGAATCAGACTAGGTAAGTCTGCTGTAGTGTCAACTATAATTGTTCCGTTTGCTACTTGTCTAACTTTTTAATTGTGTCTTCAGGTACTGCTACCAAATGTACCTGGACTACCACCGGTGTGTGAAGAAACGTGGTGACAAGTACGAACCCTGCAACTACTTCCAGCATGCTTACAAAACACTGTGCCCACAGTTTTGGGTAGAGAAGTGGGATGAACAGATTGAAAATGGCTCATTTGCTGGCTACATTTAGATCAATGATTTTAGAATAATTAGTAGGTCAAATCCATAAATCTTCAAAGTATCTTGCTCTACAATTTAGGCAATATTTTAAATTACATAAGGAAATTCCAGAAATTTGTTTAACTGAAACATGATTGAAAATAAAAATGTTGAAAGTTCTCTTTACAAATGTTATTCATTATTCTTTCCTACCATTGACAACCTGCAGTATTGTTCTTTGTCCCAGCCATGAACTGAAATTAAGTGCTGCAGCTTGGCCCTCCAAGAATAGCATTGGAGTATACAAATTCAGTAATTCACTTCTTGCAGGATTTTCACTGAAAGTTCGTGCATCTGATTGAGATAGTTATTCAATTCAACAATAGCTTCCAGCCTAAGTCCTCAGTTTAGCAATGTGGTTAATGATATGGAATGAGTCAATTTTTTCATTTCTTACTAAAAAAATATTTATTATATCATTTGTGATTATATCATTTGATTGAGGTACGATAAAAATTAAAACTACATGACAACAGTCTTATCATAATATCAGGGCCAAAAACAGCCAGTCATGCTTAAAATAAAGGAGAAATGTTACTCAAGAAAATGTTTAGGTAGTGCAACGCCTAAGTAAGATTTCTTCTCTACACAATACTTAACAACACTCCGCCAATAATGGTCAATACACAATACTTCAGGGTCACCACATATTACAAGTAAGGCTCTTGCTCTGGATATGGCAACATTTAGCCTTTCCGGGCTGTTGACGAATCCAAGAAGTTGTCTCACAGAATTTCTTCCAATTCTGTCAATGTGATCAGATCCCACACTTCTAACTGTTGATATAATTACAACCATCTTTTCCTGACCCTGGAACTCCTCTACACTTCCAACTTTCAGTTTAAGCGTTTCACTGGGATCTACCGATTTCGAAGAATCGAGCTTCTCCAAATGAAAGCGTATTTTCATCGCCTGTTAACAAATAAATAAAAAGCAGTCAGACAAAAGATCAAGCCACTTCACTAAGATATCAAAAGAATTATTGTAACAAAGTAGTAATACCTGCTTTTGATATGGAGTGATGACACCTATGTCCTCTCTCTTAATGTCAGCTGCAAGAAGTTCTTGAACAAGCATAACAACTTGGAAGCACTCTTGAAAATTCCAGAAAGACGGATTGTCTGGCTCTCTGACAGTGTCACCTTTGATACCTTGAAAAACAACAGCAGAGTTTGGGAAATTAAGAGCTGTTGTAGCCCTAACCATAACCTTAGCTTCATAACTATCATCTTCCTGGACCTGTAACACAAAAGTGAAAAGGAGAATCCCCCATTACAACCCTGAAAAAAACAGACCAAATAAAAGATACAATAGAAAGATTAATGGAAATACCCATGGTTCTAAATCAGAGTCATAAAACAGTGAACTCGGTAATTCCAGAATATCAGGCAGTGATCTATAATTTACGGATAAGCGGGTCACAAGCCTTGGGTCATAACCACCAGTATCAGGAAAGCCTGAGGAGTCCCTGACGTAGGGAAACCGAGAAATCAACCTTGCTAAGAGAGATTTGCTTAGACCAAAGTCTGCAGCCAATGATGAGGGCACAACCGGCCCAAGCTGAAGAGGATCTCCTGCCAAGACTATCTGTCCAGTCTCATGTGCCAGGAACCCTGCAATCCATAGAAATTAACAATAGAGCACACCAACCCACACACAGAAAAAGACAATAATGTAAAAAAAGGAAAAAGAAAACAAACCAAGAGGAATCAAGATTTCTGGTTCAGAGGCTTGACCAGCTTCATCCACAACAATGTGGGTAAAGTGGCCCCGAGAGAGGCTTAAGCTCATCATCTGCCCTAAGGCCACACAGGTTCCAATGATAACCCGGTGCCGCATGATCAAATCATTGTTTAAGCGTTTGGTTCCAGTTAAGATCTGTAAACCAAGGGGGATCACATTCAAGACAAGAGGACAATGTGGTGCGACTGACATGAATGCAAGAGGAAATATACCAACCGGTTCATCATCTGAGGAATCCAATTCAACTGTTGCACTATAAGGAAGGAGCCTTGGAGGGATTTTACCCTCAAGAACTAGGTGATGTGCAACAAGCCTCGTTAAATCTCCAGGCTGCAAAAGTTTTGAGTCCAACAGCCTCTCCGCAATAAGGTTCGCAGCACTATTAGAGGGAGTGGCTATTAATATCCTGAGAGGGTAAAATCGTAAGTTACTAATAATAATTTAATTAAAAAATTAGCAGTGAAGAATTTTTAAAAGATCCTTATCTAACCTGCTGTCAGCCATGAGAGAGTAGATCTGAAGAATTGTCTCAACCAGTGTCATTGTTTTCCCCGTGCCAGGAGGTCCAAAAATGATATATGGCAAAGGCCTAGCTTCGCCCTGTAGAATGTTTCGGACAGCCTCTTTCTGTCTGTGATTCAGTCTTTTGTTGAACCAATTAAGTTTCTTATTACACATTCCACTTTTAGAATTTTTTTCTTTGGCCGATTCCTCATTATTGTTTGACAAGTCAAGGGTAATTCCAGTTAAAAATAAATCGTCATCTTCCTCAAACACTATCTGAGGTGGTTTAGAGCTGACACTCTTAGGAAAGAGCCACATGTATGCCTGGTTAATTTCACAAATTTCTACTGCATGATGGCATTTGGCAAAACTGCCTCGACTTGGACAAAAAGCCACATCATAGTCTTCTGAATTGTATAAACTGACAAAGTCACGGTTAAATAAAATCCAAACTTCTTTTGCCAAAACTTTTGTGATTCTTCCCTTAAAGCTTGCACCTGAACAGGAAAAACCATGCCTTTAAAAAAATTGCACTAGCTTATTACAGCAAAAGACAAGTTGCTACCGATTCTTACCGGCACTTGAGTAACTATTTGTGGCAAAAACTGTGTCACCAGGAAGCAGAGACAGTCTTCCCTCAGACAGTGCAGCCACTTCCAGCGCCAGATATTCACCGGCAGCACCCCTGCGCATGAAACTGACTCTATTCTTCGAATAACGATCCATATCAAAGTTTGCATCCATTTCAGCAATGTACAGTAGATTATGAAACTTTTTCTTATGATTTGCAGGTGAAAGATTCTGGCCCAGCTCTGGGTACTAGAGGAAAAAAGAGAATTGAAGTCATAAAACACTTTTTTTTTTTAAAGTGGTCTCCAGAAGTACATCTGCAATTATAAGAATGCTTTTACTCACATTCTCTTTCAATGCCTTGGAAACATCTCTTTTAACAAACATGCCATCACATCCAGCTGCCATAATTTTCCCAAATGACTCCGGTAAATGATACTTTGGGATGTTTTTCTTCTGAAATCCTGTACGTCTTGGTTTGGGAGGTGGTACGAACTTTGATCTGTCAACAAAGTACACCAACAAATTAGTCACCTGCTCATTGCCAGATAAAAGAACATTTTTATACTACCATACATACAGATTCTCTTGCAGATGCAGCACATTTAGGGCCATCTCATGCCGAGATCTTTTATAGCAATTTTCATCAACCGCATTGGAAGCTGTTTCAGAGCTGGATAAAATTGTTCTGTTTACAACTTCCCATTGAATCAGTCGACCAATTAAAAAATCACCACTTTCAATAACAAAGACTTCATTAAAGTAACTACAGAATTTGTGGTTGTAAATAAAACTAAATATAACTGATTCTTTGGGCTCGATAAATATTCCTCCTTTTTTGGGCGACACCAAATTGAGGTTGGATGGCTCAGTATCAATATAATATTTTGAGATGTACTTTCGAGATTCTCCAGCATTTGTTACAACGATCTGAAACACATGCAGCACATTATAACCCTCTAGGATATGAAAATAATTCATGATCAATCAAATTTAGTAGGAATTCACGCATGATTACAATACCTCTATTTTAAAATTCCCATCTGATGGAAGGGCTCCAAAATTTGTGTTTTCCATTACAACTAAGGAACCCTTGTTTTTAAGTAGTTCTGGGTCAATTCGATGAAAGACACGCTGAGGTTCTCTGATTTTTTCTTCATACTGCTCATTCAGGTGCACAGGAGACACAGATATGGCACGCCAGGAAAACCTCATGTCATCTATATCCATGTCGCATTCAATGATTTCCATTTTCACCTGTGATTAGACAGAAATAGAAATACATATGAGTAATCAAGAAGTATTGGTGACATCCAATAATAGGTTTAAAAGCTACAATCACAATAGACAATCTGTAACAAACACACAGCTCACCTCATCCTTTTCTTTGGGAATGTAGCCTGGTTCACACACCTCTCTCTTGATAAATATTTCATTATTTACATTGCCCCTTCCATTCTTCCTATGCCAATATGTCACAACCCCTTCAGCCATTCTGGCACGGGCAGGTTTAATTGACAACACCTCCACAACCTGGCCACTTCCATCAACAGTCTCATCTGAGACCTCAACAAAACAATCCATACTCAAAATATCCCCTGCAAAAGACACGGAACGTCATGTTATGATAGTTAAATTAGTTTACCCCACAAAATAATAAAATAGAGTAACACAAGGATTACCTCTCAGAGGCACAAATTCGGATGAAATTTTATTCAAACTGAAGATGGTTTCTCTGCACTGTGGGGTGTGAGTGTCTGTGCGCTGTAAGGTGTCCCTGACAATAACATCTCTATTTGCAACATTCACAACTTTACCAACTATTGTGCGTTTGTTGGCCATACCCATAAGACCCATTTCACTCTGCTTAGGCTCTTCAATAACAGGATCAATGCTCTCTGTAACTTCTTCCTCCTCTGTCCACTGTTCTTCATGAACATGCAAGATTCTTGTAACTTTCCAGGCATTATCTTCACTGCTCCGAACAGCATGATAAGTAACTGTTCTTCCCACATCAAGACCCTCTCCAGGTGCATTTTTTCTATCAAAGAAATATTGACCATCAATGACACCATCACTGTGAAATAGGCTTGTAACTTTTCCACAGCAGGTTCGGGTTAAAAGCACATTAGAAGGAACTGGAATGGGAGCAACCTTTGCTTTTTTTTCGTCTTCAGAATAAACATTGTTAATCAATAGATCAAGTGAAGCATCGGTCTCTGTAGTTCCCAGATCCTCTTCATCAGAAAATTCATCAGAGGCCTTCCGCCCCACAACATTACTAATAATTGATGACAGTATCCCCCACATTTTAATTTGTTGACAGACAACAGATTCGAATGGACTATTTCAGAGCAGAAAAGTTCTATTGACCAATAAATTTGTCAACAGGCTGGTACATCCAATTGGAATTTTTTAAGTAGTCAAGTTCTTTGCGTAAAACTTTTAAACGTTTTTGATGGGCTTCTTTTAAAACCTTGAAAGAAAGAGTTAAGTGATAAATAAAGCAAGAAACAAACTTGCCCAGACTGAACCACAACACTCGTAATTCTCAAAGTCATACCTGTGAGCGTGCCTGATCAACTGCATGTTCGACTTTGTACCGAGCCAAAAGTGATAACTGATTGTTCATCAATTCGGAACTACCTGTTTCCTTCCTTGGAGCCCTGGTAGTTGATAGCACACTTCGATTAATGTTAGGTGAACTCATAGCAGATGTGGAAACCTACAACAACAGAAGGTATGGAATTTAACGATTAGGAATGTGTTGCAGTAAGTACATGAGAAGAAGAACCCTAGTCCTAAGAAGTATAGAAATGAGCTGGTGAAGTCAACTCGTAATTCCACGCCACAGGTGCATGTGCATTGGATGCGTTCTGCAAGTGCGAGGTAGGCAGCCTAATAGGTTAGGTCGTGCATGAAAACAAAGGGAGGACCCCGGTAAATGGGCAACATGACTTTTCCCTGCGTGCTAAGCTCTATGAGTACTTACCTGGTCGTGGAACACAGCTGCGAAATGTCTTGTCAAATCGCCCCAACCAAGTCACTTGGAAGGTAAACAGTCAAATCGACGAGACAGCAAGCAAAAGCAAGCTGTGCCGTGCGTGGCGTGGCGCGGCGCGGCAGGGAGAGGGGGAGAGGGGGAGGAAACAGGCGGAGGGCGGAGGCGGAAGACAAAGCCATGCGGAAACGGGGCGGAAAGTGAGGGTTTTGCCGAGTTTTGGCAATTTGTATGGTTTGGCACTTTGCTGCCAAGCAAGCAAGAATAATTTTGATTTCTTATGATGCCCCCACATGCTAGTGCAAAGTCTTTATGACAAGAAAAATACGGTTGGTGGAGAGAGAGGGAATGACCACATTCCTTTAGGCCTCTAGAACACACAGGGTGCGGAAATCTTTCTTTCGTCACCTCCAAGGTGAATTAAAATTAATTTGTCACAACAGAATTGCCATTACCAGCTTTTGCTCATGTACAATTTGTTGCTGGGACATCTCCTCACCATCACATCATTCGTGAACGGTATTGCCTTGAAATACTTGAAAATATGATCTTGAAAAATGTGTATCAGCAGGGGTATAATTGATAACTTTCTACCTTTTCACATGAGATAACTTTCAGGTTTTCTCAAAATGTTGAAGTCTTCCTTTGAACCCGCAGATAACGAATTCTACCGAGTTCACCCATTGGCTGGATGTAGGGACAGAGAGGGTCGCTAGCTGGATGCAGTGATTCAGTTCATAAATAAATAAATCTCTCTCATTAGATCCGACAATTTATTTTCTTAATATAGTTTATAAAAATACTTTATCACAGAGAGAAGAAATATGTACAACATACATAACATACAATCTATAACTTATTACAATTTGAGAAAAAATAATACTGAGTTGGAAAGTACAGTCAATTTTTCCAGTTGTAGAATCAGAGCATAGCAAAGACAAGGAAAGGTAAGAAAAGATATCTACAGGAGCAACAAGGCCTTCAAAATACATTCTAATAAATAAGATCAAAAGATAAGAAATTTAACAAAATACATGTTTTTTTTGTTGTTGTTTTTTTAATATATAGACTGAAAGCATGCTTAAAAGTGAGGCAAACAAACTTTTCCAGCAAATAACTCAGAAATTACAGTTATCCAAAGAGCAAGGACAAATAATATGTATGAAATGCCCACTTGATGACTGTTCGGAAGCTGATAAGGCTGACCACCTATTTCGTCAACGTGAAAGCCCATCGGAAATATGACAGCAGCTAAGCAGAAAAGAACCACTAGAAAAGAAAAAGAAACAGTATTAATTGGGACAAATTTTATGGAGGTCAATTACAATATGAAACTTGCTGACACTTACTTGCGGTGAACCCTACCCATCTTGCGTAGGGAACAACATTACGGTCCCAATGAGATGATGCAAGAAGTATAATTGTTGTGGTGATACAAATACAGCCTACAAATATGCAGACCAAAGCTAGTAACCACTCTGGCTGAAGATCAGGTGTAAAGCATACCTGAGGCCTGTCGTATAGGGTCATGCATGTCCACATTAACCCTAACCGTGTGTCACCTGAAAACGTAAAACAAAATACAGGAAAAGTTTTCAAAGAAAAATAATGCACTTATTCATAAACAAAGTGGAAGAGACGGAGAAACAACACTGATTAGTATTTTGTTCTGCAAAACAGAGGGTTAGACTGACCTCCAACATCTGTAATTATCCAGTCAGGCATCGCGAGACTCACGATAGCAAATACGTCTGCTGCCATAAACAGCGTACCAGATATGATCGTTAACTTGTCCATTATTGAGATGAAAAGTTACAACCCGTTGTGTTGAACGTAAAAAGATAATACGCCAAAACCATCACCATCCATCCATAACAAACAGAAGAAGAAAGAAAGTTTGTCCTCCGTGCATCATGGCTGCCATCGGCTGCTAGGACCAATCAGAGACCGTCTCTTGTGTTCGCGAACATTTCTCTTCTTCTTGGATGCGGAAGTGAAAGGAAGTGATATATTGTGATCATTTAGTGTTGATTATGTGGAGATTTTTTGGCAAAAAGAAAAGCGACACATTGAGTTACAGTACATATTTATTTTCAGCAGACACACAGTTGTTTTTCTTCAGGAAAAGAATGATCATATTGGGACATAAACTGAACTTTCTTGGGAAGAGCAGAGTACCACAACTACCAAAGGAATGACATAATAGCAGAAAAGAAAATTCATGCATCTACATCAGAACAGAAATTGTGTACAATCTTACCACAGCATGAAGACAGTCTCCATGACCACAGGCACAAACCATTCAGCAACTTTTATCCCAGCCTATGCAAAGTCAACCGCATTCAATTAATAATCAGGAACATAAAAAGGGAAAGAGACTTAAAAAGTGGAGTTTCTCTATACAAAGTGTGTGTGCGAATCCTCACCAGAAAACCATAATGGCACAGAAATGTTCCATTGATCCATTGCACCAAAACAATGGCAAAGTCACTGCCAAGTTTTGCAAGATTTACAGCCTTATATAATCTCTCACCCTTCATAGACTACTGCATTGACTTGGTCTGATCACATATGTACCCAACCAAAAAGAAATGATCAATGTACATCTCCTTTGGATATCTAGCATCATTCTCCACTGTTATAGGTATATCACTGAAATTAAGACAATATAAAATCTTTTCAGAATAAACTTAACACTTACAAAATAATCACTGACGGAGAACGTCTCCAAGTATAGTTACATAACGCTCAAACAAATCTACATAACACAACCCAGTAAATAATAAAAATATTACTAATAATAAGTGGCCTATCAGCAAGCATCTACAGCTCTCAGCTCACGTGAGCATACTTTGGTAGCTTACCCTACATTTCTCCAAGGCACCATCCACACACTAAATCCAGACTATACTTTCGAGATCTTTCATAGCACAAGTCAAATTAGAAGAAAAAAAAACAGCATTCTGCTTTCATCCAGTCATAAAGTTAAAAAACAAAACCTAAAACAAATCTATGAAGAAGATACACATTATACAAAAAGTTTTTAAAACAAGATCAGACTGTGACAGTGACAGGAAGGCCATTCCTTGCAAACTAATTCAAGCTGAATTTTGGGGGGGAAAAAGAGGGGGGAACGCTTTAAGTGGAATCCTTCTGGAATGTTCCCGTAAACCACTGATTACATTCTCATTCTGACAACCCATGAAAGGGAACCTTAAGTCCTGGACAGATAAAATAAAGGATTACATTAAACCCAAATTTTACAGCAACTGGCTCTTATTGTTCATTGCAAAGGCAATGATATCAAAAGTAAACATAAATACTGATAATTTTTTGTCCTAAGAAGTAGGATGTTCACTTAAAGAATCAACACACATAAGCATAAACAGTTATTAAGATTAAGATTGCAGCTGAAACTGTAGCACATAGGACACTGGATTTCCCATCTAATAATTCACTATCCTCCATCCACATAGTAGCTAAGAATTAGGTTTTTACTACCAGCCACTTTGACTAACAGTGATGCATGTGCACACACAAACTTGTTACATACAAAATTTTACAGGGGCAAAAAAAAAGAGGGGGAAAAAAAGTTAACCTGTGGTAGTTTAGTTCTGAGATTACCACAGTACAATTTAGTTTGAAGTCATTATGCTGGTAGAACATATCACAGTCACTTGACTATCATCCTTATCTTCAGGCAATGACAAGAGGCTCATCATCGGAGAATCCACGGATCACTGGAGAGTCTTCTTCCTCTGTAACATAAAAGAAGACACAAAGCTTGTAAGTTCCTTAGAGCCATGTATTTATTTTATAAGCTTTTGCAATAATGACAGAATTTTCAAAATGCCCCAAATTACGAAACAGCAAAACAATATCATCTGGAACCACTATGATCCAGAAGTATTCCACATGGATCTGAAGACAATGATGCAGTACAAAAATGTTCAGAAACCCCACCCTCCTAAAAAGTAATACAAGTAGGAAAAGAAATAATGATTGGATAACTCCTTTTTTGCACATTCTTCTGCTTCAATTTCTATTGAAAAATAAGATTAAAACTAAGCTAAGACAGAACAAAAAGCAAAGGCCCCAAACTACACAACATTCAAAGACAGAAGTGGCTTACCAATGAAATCCCCCCCTGAAAGATGAGAAAGAATTCCAAATTTGAATAAGTTATGTACAAGACAAATTGCGCCTATGGCCAATCCAATCACACAAATTTATCAATTGGTCTAAATAAAAAAGTTAGCTGAAAAATTCTTACCTAGTCCATCACTGCCTCCAAATGTTGCTGCACCAGATCGAGTGTCATAATGACTATTTGCAAAGGAAGCAAAACTATGTTGTAAGCGTCTATGGCGCCACACAAAGAAGAAAATCGCCATGACAAGCCCAACTATTAGAATCAATCCTGGAAGAACAGTCCACATCACCACTCCACTCTTCACTGCAGCAGACCACGATCCTAAAAACCAGAACAGTTATTATTATTATTAGGTATTTATTATTATTATTCACACTGTATTGTTATTAATATTGAAGAAGGGTAAAAGTTATGGAATGTTGTGCAGACTTACCAAGTGGAACTTCAATGGAACGAATTTCTGATAAAGATGACTTGTAGCCATCATCTGTTACAGCACGTATGGCAAAAGAATACACGGTTCCTTCCGAAACATCAGTTAAATGAAATGGGGGCCCAGGAACAAGGAATGCCTTGGATTCCGATTCATTCATAGTGCGTCCCTTACACACCAATATTTCAAACTGAAACCTGTAATACAATGGGGTTTACGGTGCTGACTTTACAAATAAGAAAGCTAATAATTTCTAAAAGGTGAGATACTCACTTGTCCAAATTGGCATCATTCTTGTCACCAAATGGTTGACTTACAGACCAAAACAGGATATAGGTACCATTTGTAGTTGGTTCAACTTTTAGTTGATGGGGTGAAGGAATGGGAGGAGCATCATATGACACAGGGCCCGCAACTAAAGCATCATCGGCATCTGTTTGCACAGTAATGTTATAATGTCCACCCCAATGAACTTTAAAGGGGGCTTCCATATAATTTGCATTTGTTGGCAAAGTTGTTATTGAAGAAGTGTGATTCAATTTTATTTCGGTTACAGTCACCTATCAAAAAGAAATTAGCCAGAATAAGAGATGAACAAGAATGGACTCAAACACAAGTGAAATATAACTAACACTTACAATGTATCTCGTAGTGGTGTTGCCATTCAATGTGGGACAAGATGCATCCCAATGGACTATCATATGAGTATCCCTTCCATGTTCCAAAACTTGAGATCGCACACCTAGGTGTCTTGGAGGAGCTCGAGGATAATACACAGTAACTACTGACTGATAGGACGGAATTGTAGAGATAGGACCAACTCCTAATGGCCCAACAAGCCCAATGTAAAACATGTATGAAACGCATGGCAGCAAATCTTTCAAGTCGATAGATGTTGTTTCAGTAATTCCTCTGGGTTCTGGAGTGCCACAAAGAAAATGTAAAGGACACAATATGTAAAAGAAATTTGAGCCACAGAAAAGAAATAAAAATTATTCCTTACTTTCAAGCGCTTCAGCTAATGAGAGACCATAATACACTCCATACTTCCATGTTTTAGATCTAGAGTCCTGAACAGGATTCCAAGTAAGCCGCACCACAGATTCACTATCTTTCAAGACTTGAGCTTTCAACCCATCAACTTTAGGAAGGGAATCTCCTGCTCAGAGACAAGATTGATTAATAAAGAATAAATTAAGAAAATTTGAGATTGTGCTAAGTTTCAAAATTACCTTTCATCTTAGTATGCACAGCAGAAAAAGCACCAGGGAAATTATTGTGCCAAGCTCTAACTCTGAACACAAACGCCAAACCCGGTGAGAGGTTTGGAACTAGAAAAAAACAGCAAATAATAACAGTGAGTTCACAACTTAATTCATAGTTTAGAAAACACATGAAATTCCAAATATTCACCGGTAAATGAGGTGTTTGTCGTTCTGTAAGGTGCTATTTTAGGATAATACTGAGGAACTTGAACATCAATTTCATATTCTACAGAACCTTGTGGAGCATCAATAGCATTCCACTCCAATGTGACAGAGTCATTAGTCCTGATTGTTATTCTTAATGACTTAATGGTCATAGAAATCTCACTCATTTCCAGTTTAACAACAAGGGAACCATTGCTTTCTCCTTTGCTATTGTACGCAACCACCTTGAAATAAAAAGCATTGTAAATTATTTTTAGAGTATGATAAGAGAAAAATGTCACTTACAATGACAAAAAAATGGCAATTACCCAGAAAGAGTATGTAGAGTTGGATTCAAAGTCATATTTAATTGATGCCTTTCTCTCCTTTGTGTTAATTAATAGAGGGGGCAGAGGTGGGGACATAAATACTTTGTAGCCCAAAATTGTTCCTCTTGGGAATAAAGGATGCTCCCAAGAGACCACCACTTCATCAAAGTTCACAGGTTTGGCAGTAACTTTGTATGGTTCACTAGGTGCTGCAAAGGATTACAAACAAAAGGTTACAGCAAGAAGACACAACTGATGACAAAAGGGATCGCTCTTTTAGTTGGTAAATGCGATAAATATGGAAAGGTACTCACTATCTTCACCAGTGGTAGCTTGGACATACTTTGCTGGGGGGAAAACGTTGTTTGTTCCATTAACTCGCACATAAACAGTCATGTTGTACTGGGTATTTGCTGTCAGATTTGTGAACCGAAAATCAGGCACAGAGATCCACTGTGTATGGTTCTTCCACACAGGACGCACTTCATGCCCAGCAGGAACCACTTTTGCAATAGAAGGCATGTACTCAAGGAAAACTTCTTTGGGAACTGCCATCCACCAATACAGTAAAAGAGAGTTCGCATCTTGTAATCGCTCATCATAACCCATTTGGAGAACCTGAACACACATGTCATTTTATTATTTCCATGCTTCCAATTTTTAGCACCAAATATAAACAGTACCTTTAGAAATAAATCATACGCACTTGGTAAACTCTTGTGCCATTTTTAGTACAATTATGCTCATCATACCCATCAATGCAGTGTGTCTTTCCATCACAGAAGTTGGCAATAGGAAAGCATGTACCGTCAAGACATGGCAAGTATCCAGATTGACAGTGATGTCTTGTTGGATCCACTAATAAATAAGTATTTTATCAGAAAATAGTTTGTCAAGGAAATTACAGTTAACAAACCACACTTAATTGTAACCTACCTTCTTTATCTTTATCAGTAGAGCATGATGCTTCATCAGATCCATCAGGGCACTGTGGACTACCATCACATACCTGGGCCATACTGAGACAAGACCCATCAATGCGACATGTGAACATGTTGCGTTCATGACAGTCAGTCGCTCCATTACAATTTTGTTCATCTTCTCCACCTGAACACTCTACTGCCTTGTCACAAACCCATGCATCTGGGATACAGTCCCCTGCAGACACAAATTCCTCATATTAGTTCTACGCAATGCCAAGAACATACATGCATTTTAATTATTATTTGGATAATGAACCTGTGTAGCACTGGAAGTAATTTGGGGGACAGCTATGCTTTGGCAGTTCTGGTACCAATTCTTCTTCATCATCTGAATTTTCATCATAACCACATCCTATTTCATCCGTCTTGTCCCCACAATCATCTACTTTATCACATTTCCACCAATCCAGGATGCAACGTCCATTTTTACAAAGGAACATCCACTCAGCACATGTATTCTGAAAAATTAAATCACAAAACTCACAATAATTGTAATTAATTGATTTTAAAAAAAGCTTGATACAATGATTGCCTACATTTTTTGTTGGTGCAAATGGGGCAGGCGTAGTAGGAGTTGCAGGAGCAGTGCAATTGAGTTCATCACTTCCATCATCACAATCTGGACTGTTGTCACACTGCCATGTTGCATAAATACATGATGTTTTTCCAGATAAACACTAAATGGGAAAAAGTTTGAATTCAGACAAGGAAACCAAGATTCTGATAATTATTATTATTGGTATTGTCACAAACTTCAACTTACAGTGAACTGCCATGGTTTACATTGCATATGTTGCGTACAGTTTTTCTCATCTGAGGCATCAAGACAATCCTTCTCCCCATCGCATCTCCATGAAATTGGAATGCACTGAGAATGATTGCTGCATTTAAACTCATTTTCTAAAAGAAACAAAAGCAGAAAAAAAAACAAGACAATTAATTTGATGACTTACAACAAACTTCTTTTTTCCAATTGTGTTAATCCTACAACACTTACCAGGGCAATTTGTTGGAGGAGAATGAGAACAAGATAATTCATCAGAACCATCATGGCAATCATTCTCACCATCACAAACCCACTTTTTATCAATGCAATGGCCTGTTGCACATCGGAATTGAGTAGAAGTACAGTTCTTTTCATCTAAAATCAAAGTCAAAGGTTATAAAGCTGCAAATTTAAAAAGTGAAAGAGAGTTAATGGAGAAACCAACTTACTGCAAATTTCATCACTGCCATCTTCACAGTCTTTGTCCATATCGCATCGCCAAACAGGTGAAATGCACTTGCCATCATTACACCTGAACATCTTGTTCCCACAGAGGGCCTGCGTGCAATTCACCTCGTCGGACTTGTCTCCACAATCGTCCACAGTATCACAATGCCAAAGACCAGGAATGCAGATTCCATTTTGGCACGCAAAGAATGAAGGGTCACATGTGTGCTCTACTGCAATACAAGCACAGACAGTGAAAATAGATTGCTTTGATGAGTATTTAACAGTCAAGAGGGAAGATAAAATGCAAAGCTTACCCTGAGGGCATGTTCCATTTTTGAACGGAGGTTTGTCACCAGGACACATGCACACACCATTCACCATTTTCATTTCATCTGGGCACAAACAGACATGGCCACCATTAGGTGCTCCCACACAAATGTGGGAACATAATGTCTTATTTACACAAGCATTAGTGGCTTCTTGAAGACTATGAGCATAAACCTGGAAAGAGAAAAGAAAAAGTTAAGAGTGCCCCAGAAATGGCAGCAACTGAAAAACAAACTGTGGTCCTGTTCTACGCTATTCAGCTCACCTTTATTTCCATTAAGCCTAGCAAAGTGCCGGTTATATTTTGAACTGCCACTCCATGATCTTTGTCAGCAACAAAGATAGCATTGTTCTTCCAATCATCCCAATACAAGTTATCTTTAAACACTGCAACGGAGAAGGGATGGGACACTCGATCCTGTAAGCCCAGAAGTTTCCAAGTAGCAATAATTTTCCATACTATAGAAGCCACTTACAAAGGAATTAAAGGAAATGAAATCTTACATTGTCAGTGATAACCTTAACAACATTATCTCCATCTAAGTTGCAGGAGGCAATGTAGTCTTCACGGGCATCAACCCAATACACTCTTTCAGCAATGTAGTCAATTGTTACACCATTGGGCCAAACAACCTTCGTTCCTTTGAACAGACGTTTAATATTGCTTCCATCCATGTTGGCACGGTTCACACTTGGGCGTTCAGGAGTCCAATCAGACCAAAATATGTACCTGGCATACATGTAAGTTAATATGTTACCACAGAGTGATGTAGGTGTCAAGGAGTCATGTGTGGCTAAGAACATACTACTAACCCTGCTTTAGGATGTAAAGCTATTCCCCTGGGCTTTTTCAAATTAGGAGCATTTAGGATGGTTCTTCTCATGCGTCCTTGATGATTGATGTCAGTGCGCACTACTTCAATGGTTGCACGAGCACCATCCACAAAATAGAGCAATTTGGAGACCCAATCATAAGCCATTCCTTCCACAGATTTGAGATTTGTGCTAACTATTATTTCAGGGAGTTCAAGTCCAGAGTTCATGCATTGTCGCTGAAAGCGCAAAACAAGGCAATATTAAATAGAACAGAGTTACAAATGAGCGTTGAATCAAAATTGACAGAGTCCATAAAAAAAAAGTAACATACCCCAATAGTGTCAGTCACAATATCTGCCCAAAACACACAGTTATTGCGCATATCAAAATCAATAGCAATGACATTCTTCAGGTTGAGAATTGGAAGAGGGTCCATTGTATTCGACTCTAAATTAATACGAACGATTTTGTCTCGCTGCGCTGCAAGCATGAAGTCATTTTGTTCCCTGAAAGAAGATGAGAAATGAATGAAGTAAAGTACTTGAAAGATTGTAGCATATAGTGAAATTGGATGTGACTTACTTTACGGGACATGCTATATGATCGGGTAAATATCTCTCCTCATGTCCACCTACACAAACATCTTCAGGAACCTTGACATAGCCTTTAGTTCGAGCATAAAACGTTCCTTGTGGACACAACTGAGGAACAGCGTATGGCTCAGCTTTCATATCTCTGTCTCTCACACATCGAGTGGTAGTATGATGAAGGTCTCGCTTAAAACCAAAATCACTACAAAACAAAGCCTTAGAGTTATAAAAATGTTTCCCCATAGGGTACACAGTAAAATAGAAACAATGCCACAACAGGAGTCCTCACCAATCAAAGTCCTCAGCTGCACAACCACAAACTTCCATCTTGACACGTCTGACATAATTACGGCTATTGTAACAATTAGAATGAGGCAATCGACGCTGATAGGTTTCTTGGCGTCCGAGCAGACAAGGAACTCTGACACCATCACTTCCTAGTGGACCACTACCAGGAGACCAAAACTTGTAGTCATCATCAGTGCAGTTGTATTCTGTGAGGGAACACACAAATTATATAAAAAACCGAAACAATTATTTGCCAAAATCAAAGAAGAGTTACCTTACTGCAAGAAAGAGACTTACTGAATGCATTCTTCATGTCAACTTTCACAATAATCCATTGGTGCTTGGGTTTACCAGATCCAAACATAGTGAAAACAGTTGTGTTGCCACCTGGTTCAGTCATAAGACCATACATACGCAAGTCTACATTGGTAAAATTGTGAGAATTAAATGTCTGCCCTTCGTCAGTTGAATACAAAATTTGTCGAGTTTCTCCGTTAGTTTTAAAATATTTGACAGCAACAATCACACCACCATAGTCACCAAAATTGAAGAAATACAGATCTTTCAGCACCTAAAAATATGAAAGCAATAATTAATGGACTGATTCGAATATTTCATGATCATTACGCTTTGTGAGCAAACCAAGTACTTACTTGGCGCCAGGTAACCCCACCATCGGCACTTAGAAACACACCAGCATGGCCTTTCAATGATTTACCCACTACACCAGTGGCAAGAATAATACCAGGAGCAGATTTGAAGTAAGAATAGGAACATATCTTGTTTGAGGGTGGAGATGGGAAAAGCTCTGGGCTAGATGCAGAGAGCATCCATCTTTCTGCAAAGATTCAATTTGTATGATTAAGAGTAGAGTTTTGTCAAATTAACCAACTAATACAAATAACAAAAAAGGGTGGAAATTTGTATAAAATAGACAGGGAAACTCACAATATCACATTTAATGGGGTTCCCTTCATCATCATACTGAGGAGGGTTTAGAAGCCGCCACTCTCCACCCCTATCAAACGTTATCATCGTAGCTAAATTCTCCAATCCTATATGGGCACTCTTAGACCTTGAAGTTACTACAGATGCAATGTAGATTCCTCGCAAACCCTCAACACGGGTTAGTGTAGCAAATGGTTCCTCAGCAACATCACTGAAACACAAAATTGGAAATTTCATGCAATGAAACGTAGTGCTTTTATTTCTGATAAGAGGCACCCATGTACAATTAGATGGCATACTTACACTAGCCACGAATTTTGCCACGTAACATTAGGCATATAGCAGAAAATATTCTCAAGAGACAGGGCAAACTTGACGGAGTCTTTAGAGACATCCACTGAGACATAGAGGTTGGCCACATTAGGCTCATGTACAACAACAATCATAGCTTGTTCTCCATTGACATCAGCAATATGATATTTCAAATTAGAATGCTCAGATTGAAATTTAGCTTTCACAAATGGTCCTCGTTTGAAGGAAACATACAAATCAAGGCCGCCCTGTAAGAGGTATACAATGTTTTATAAAAATACTTGTGAAGATCTTTGGTTATTTTGAAACACTCATAATTGCATAGAAATAGAAATTCATTAAATTATGGACTAACCTTCTCTGATGCTTTGGTGGCAAACAAAAAGTCGCCTTTGACATGAAAATCTTTCACATCAGGAATAGTTATTCGGAAACTTTGGAACAAGTCTGTTGAATGCAGCACTATCGAATCTCGGGCGGGCTCCTTCCGCTCCACATACAATGTTGGGGGATCAAGGGATGGATCCTCTCCTTGGGCATCCATATCCACTTCATGATCAGGTCCTACTGGGGTACCGAGGGTCCAATAGAAGGACTTAACCATTTCTTGAATCACCGTCCAGGTTTCACCAAAGTCTTTTGTCAACCACAGCTGAAGAGGAATCAATCAAAAAGAGAGGACAAATAAATTCTGATGATAAAATAGTTTGAATTAAGAACTACTTTAGGAGGGGAAAAAACATACCTTTTTTAATGGGTCAACTTTGTCATAAACTAAAAACGTAAAAGGGTCTGTATCATGAAAGAGAACATCTGATGGATGAAATTCCACCTTTATTTGCTCCATGGTTTGGCCACTGTCTCTAGTTTTAAGAATCACTTTATTCGTGACATCTGTCAGAACAACCTTCAAGAGAAAAAGGAGACATGTCAGTTGAATCAAGAACAAATGTACAACCAACCAGGCAAAAAAGGATACTCACATGTGTTGTGTATCTGTGATGGTTGTAAAATTTCTCAACAATGGCATATTTACCATTGTTTAGCTTCAGTAGCTCTGTTTTATTGTCAAAGGTATCACCATAGTCATATGAAATGTATAGAGATGATGGCTTTGGAATCACTGCAGCTGCAGTGCGCTGAATGGGATCTCGTGCAAGACATAGCACAACATCAGAGCCTTCACCAGCCCAGTGAACCATCAGGAGAGAGTGCGAATCATTGAGAAAGCTGACCTAAGTTATTAAGAGAAAACAAAAACAAAACAGTACACAATTTTAGAAATACATGATAACTCAATAGAGAAGGTTGTTGAACAAAAGGAAGGTAGTCAGGTCGTCAGATTCTGTATACAAAAACAATGATGTGGTTGCTCTATCTTATCTCACAGCAATAGAAAGATAACTTAAGAATTATAAACAAGTAGGATACATCCAACAGGTCTTTCTTTTAAAAAAACGTTACAAAAGGGGCAGTCAAGATTTTGGATTACAAGAGAAATAATCAACAGAAAAAGTTGAGTCATTCTCTTTGCTTGTTTAACCTGTCTTTAAATTGGCAAACTGCCAAATGATACAGAGGGATGATTTAGCATCTTCACAGGGACATTGAGACACAAGCACAGTGTTACATAAACTATATACATCTCTGTCCTCTGAACTGCACAAGAGGAAAGCACAACGCTCCCCATCAAAATGCAAAAATGTTCTTTGCTGGAACATATATTTGCGCAACGTATTAAGGCAACTCAATTAGTTTTGATCAAGTACAAAATAAGAAAAGTTTCATTCAAACAAAATAAAACAGGCCTCTAAAGGAGAAACTGCAGGAATAAATGTGGGTTTGGCGGTATAAACGTCATCCATTCAAATGACAGATAAGTGAAAATCAGCTAGTATCTGTTCAGCTCTTGTCCAACACAAAGGGGACGGAGCCTATAGCGGCACCCGCATGACCCGCCCATGCTGGTCAGTGCAGCCTAGTGCAGCCTCCCCGGCTCCAGGGAATCAATAACATTGGGCAACGGACATCACTGACACTTGAAATAGGCTCGACACACCAACACACCCATCGGCGCGACGCACCAACACGGCTAACCAACAACGCATTCTCTCGGCATTACCTTGGTCCCTATCGCCGATTTCTCTGGCTGGATGTCCCTCTTGGACCGATGCGAGGGAAGGAGCTCGTCCAGCGATGCGTGGGGCGACAGGCCATCGTCTTGCGTCGAATCAATTATCACCGGGCTCCTCTTGTGGCCGGAGCTGTCTTTGTACATAGAAATAGTGGACGGAGCCAATCCATGTCTATCGGCCCAAGACACAGATAAGAACACCAGCAGGAAAATTAAACGTGACATTTGGTGGCTGTCGACGAACACCACAACATAGCACAATCACGTCCCGATACAATGTGCACTCGCAGAGCTCTGCTTCTGTTGCACTGACTTGTGGAAATGTCCGTCAATGTCGTCTCCGTCTTTCTGCTGACAACGACAACACAAACTGACTGGCAGCGCGATCTGGGAGACAGTCGAGGAAGCACAAAGGCAGTCTGGCGACGCAGAACGAAAATCTCCGTCTAAAATCTGTGGATTAGAACAGAGTGCCAAAGAAGCAAACTGTCATGAAAAGAAAACAAACATATTTTGATAGTGAATAAATATAACTTTCTTCAATTCAAGTATTTTTAAGACCATATACCGGTGGATGAAAACAGTGATGAATGGACGTTGGTAAGTTGGTAAGGACACCGGCCAAGCAGAAGAGACAGCTTTCCACACACGGAAGAAAGGATTTTCTTAGTTTATCGTTATTGGGAAATGCATAATTGAATCACCATTGCATGTAAGTACTGTTAAATCTATTACTTTTACTACGTAACACGTCATGAGGAGAGATGCCGTGCATTTTAAAAATAAGAGCTTTAAACATTGTGGTGTAGAGGTTAGGATTCTCTTGTGTCTACCGTTATTCGGTTACCCGCTCTTAATTAACCTCTGTATTGTTTCATTTTATCATTGAAGTAAGGAATGAGAAGCTCCCACTTCAGTCTAATTCGACGCGTTTTCCTGGTACTGGGTCGCTACGCGACAAAGTTTAAGACGCGGAGTGTAACCCAGGCGTTGCATGAGGTGTCTCAAACTGTTTCAACTTTTGGGCAAGACCTAGCTGAAACCGACTCGTGGTAACGTTTCGGTGCATCTTTCATTGAGTGTCCGTCAATTTAAGGGGTACTTTGGCGTCTTTTAACGGCGCGCGTATCGTGCCTGTGGCGTGTGTGTGGTGAGGGGGAAAACGGGGGAGGGGGGGTAGCCTTCCTCTCCGCTCGCTCCCCTCCCCTCATCTGCCTCTGCTGCCCGTGGGCGGCAATGCATGGGCATGCATGGGAGTGCAGCTTTAAAAAATCTCGATACTTGGAAATGCCGTAGTGGCAAATCTCCCTTTATGGTGAGACAAGGCGTCCCAACCGGAGGGAGGAGGGGAGGGGCGCGCTCCAAGCTCCGCACTGCGAGTCGAATCATGCCACTTCCGCTTGAGCCATTTTAAGGCGTTTTACGGCTGTCTAAACCAATCGACTGCGATGACCGCACCCTTGTTGAGTGGACGGCCTCTAACTGGACGAGAGACGAGAGGCCCTACCTGGTCGAGACAGGCGTGCCCTTCCCACGCGGGCGCGGCATGCCGCAGGGAAGTCCAGAACGTCGATAGGCCACCTGTGTCTCCGGAAGTATTTTCTAACGATATCTAAGCTGCAATAGCCCTGGCTGCTATTTTTTTTTTTTTTTTTTGTATTTTTAGGTGGGATGCACTGCACGGCCTGCACGCCCCCTCGCGGTGGCGCTCGCAAAGTCGCGGCGGTTGCCTGACTAAGGCGTCGCGGTGAATCACACGGCTTGCCAATAAAGTGCCGGGCAAACACTGCCAGAACTGCCAGCCGAGCGATTCAGAAGATCGGTTCGTCGCTCTGTCTCTCTCGCACCCTTGCGGAGAGCCCCACGAGTGCGACAGAGACAGAGCGACGAAAATAACGATTCTTCTGGATCGCTCGGCAGAAGTGAAAGGCGTGCGTGCATGTGGCGAATGAATCACGCCGAGAGTCATTCATGCTCGCTACCCCGCGAAGCGTCGCGCAGCCGGATAGATAAGAGTCGCCTTACTCCGCAGCCAGCCGTGCCCGCTGTCGCTGGCCGCAGTTCACCGCGGATTCTTGGGTTCCGGTTACTCGGTGGCACTCGGAACGCGGGCAGTGACAGCTCACAACCAACACCCGATACTGTACCATGCGATAAACTCGTCATAAAGGAAATGAAAGAAAAATAAAACGAACCTCCGCCACGGTAAACACCGAACCTGGTTTTCCCAGGAAGCCTATGGTGCAGACATTGGCGATTTCCAGGGAGTTCCTGGGAAAGCCAGGAACCGTTTTCGCCATCACTGAAAATCAAATAGTGATACATCTCACTCTCTGAGGGATGAGACATAACTGTCTCACCAAAAAAATGGTGATACTAAAATGTATCACCAAAAAAATAGTCGTACACGCATGTATCACCGAAAAAATGGTCGTACACGCATGTATCCCCGAAAAAAAGGTCGTACACAAATGTATCACCGAAAAAAGGGTGATACTTCCCCAGGAAAACAAGGGCCAATCTCGCTCATGTCTCACCGTTTTTTCGGTGATACATTTCTGTACTACCCTTTTTTCGGTGATACATGCGTGTACGACCATTTTTTCGGTGATACATGAATGTACGACCATTTTTTCGGTGATACGTTTTGTATCGCCGAAAATTGGTGAGATGTCTCACCCTTCGAATTTCAGTGATGGGACTTCGGCGATGTTATCGTCGGTTAAAAGCTACAGGAAGCATTATTATTGATTTCGGAGCAGGGGAAAACAAAACTGTAGCATGCACTTTTGCGAGCTTTCTTCTTCTGTTTTTGTTGCTGGCAAGCTTGGCGAGCTGCTGGTCTGATGGCTTTCCTCTTCTTGCCGCGCTTTGCCGGACGTTTGGGGATCGCACTGCAGTGTTTCTGTTTATGCTTGTCGCCGGTAGGGGAGGGGGGGGGCACCCGAAATATACTCCGCGAACCTATTTTCGAATCTCATTCCTGGCCGCGGTACCCATATTTATAGATGCATTTCAGTGTCACGGTTGGCGTGGCTGGCGTGGCTGGCGTGGGGTGGCGCGTGCAGTGGCTGCAGCACGTGCTCCCGCGTGAGATAAAGACCCCCGGCTTCCTGGAGGCTGCAGCGGTCGACCGGCCAGCTGCCGCCCGCGTGACGGTCACGTGTGTGTGTGAGTGTGGTGTGTGTGTGTGTGTGCGCGCGCGCGCGCGCGTGTGTGTGTGTGACTGGTTCCTGAACCGAACCGCCCGCCGAAGGCCCCGCTCCCGCGGCGTCCTTGGCGGCGGTGCCGCGCGGTGTGCAGTGATGAGCCTATGAATGAACCCGCCCTATTAATAGGAGGCCGCGCCCTGCCCCACCCCCACCTCCGCGGGGGTGCAAGTTCAGAGTCCCGTTCAGTTGCGGTGCGCGCGCGGACGCGAAGGGGTGGCCGGCGCGACGCCCCCGGTGCAGTGACGTGTCGCCATGTGAGTGACGGCGCGTGCACGTCGTGTCTCCAGGATGGCCGTGCCAGACAAGGAGATGCGGCAGAAGTGCTGGGACGCCCGCGACGCGTACTGGAGGTGTCTGGACGACGGCAGCGGCGAGCGCAAGGACCGGGAGGACAAGTGCAAGCCGCTCAAGGAAGCCCTCACCAGCCTCTGCCCCGCCGTTTGGGTGAGTCCGAATGCACGTCCTTTGTGGAGCACGCACCGGTAAATTCATCCCTGATTTGACATTTGGAATTCCCCCGTCTCCGCTGAGCCAGAGCTGCCTAAGAGGAGATTGCCTACCTACTAGGCATCTCAGTCCGTCACACTGTTGATGACTCTTGGGACATTATTCTTACCCTGTAAATTCCTGTAAAGTCAAACCAGGCGGGAAAACTTCGGAGACTCCCAGCCGACATTCAAAGTCTTCCAAAGCCTTTTGTACTTTGCACTGTACTGTATCGCTGCGCGGAAAGGCTCCATGTGTCTTCTGCTTGCAGGTGAAACATTTCGACCGGCGCTACGACTACCTCAAGTACAAGGAGCAGCTCGAGAAGCACGGGTATGAGCAGCCGCATGGGGTTAACAGCCAAATGTAACACTCGCAGCACTAACACTCTTGCTGACCTCCGCACGGCCTCTCGGCCAAGGCCCCGGCCGGCCTCGGCGCTGACGGCGAGCATCTTGCTCGAGAGTGCTGACGGCCTGAGAACAATCCTGGTGGAGAAAGGAGGAGGGAAGGGGGAGAGATCGGGCCTCTCCTGGTCCATGTGATATTTAAGCTGCCGTGTCTGTCAACATACCTCTGTACATGTATTTATGTAATTTTAGTAGGATTGAAATAAATTGTATCGTAATTAACTTTGCATTGTTCATGGAGTACCCCCCATTTGTGTAACACATGCACCAGTGGATGAAAACAACATCTGAGTTTCGTTTTATTTGTAGTTTTACTAAAGCTTTATTTGTTTATTAACACTCCAACAAGTTCAACTTTTTGCCTCGACGTAATGTGCTGCGCACCGATTTTGGTTCACAACTCTGACCATGCCTGACGAAATATATTCTGAGCATATGTAGGTACAGTCTACGTAGTTTGTTGCACGAAGAATTGCTTCGTAAATTACAAAGTATTTTCTTTCTAAGCTTACGTACGCTCAAAATACTTCGTATAAACATACAATTTGAAAAAGCCCAAAAGAGTTTGTTTCCCGAGAGTGCAATCCTTCATAGTTGCCTGTCGAGCCTGGCGCACCGTCGCGGCGACTGTCGCACTCAGTCGCTGTCGCAGCGCGGCATCATCAGCCGCTCTAATTTCCCCCTCCCACCCCCGCGATCCGCTGCTCGTTAGCTGCCGTCGCTCTGTCTCTCTCGCACCCTTATGGAGGGCGCCACGAGTGCGACAGAGACAGAGTGGCGAACGAATCGGCTGGCACGCCGAGCCGCAGCCTCGCACATGTGGCGAGTAATTTTAGTTTTTTGGACGCGGACTAGAGGAACCGGTGGACTGGGCGGCCAGTAAGTCACGCCGTGATGTGCGACGCGTGGCGTAGCGTGGCGTAGCGTGGCGACGTCTCGTTAGGCCGGCTGAAGCCCGCCTGCCTGGCTGCCTGCCTGGCTGGCTGCCTGGTTTGGCTCGCCGGCCAGACCTGGCCAGACGCGCGAGAATTGGAAGGGAACGAGGAAGGGTCGGCGCGACGAGCCCCCAAGGCGATGTAGTGAATTCGTTCCACCGCTCACCCCACCGGCAACCACCCCGTCTGTGACGCAAATTTAACACGTCCACTCCGAAGTGAAATTAACGGGATGGGAAATCGTGGCAAGGGACGAGAACACCGCTCTCGTTCCGTGGCCAACGTGTTAAACCTTCGAGACGATTTTGGCCGCGAATGTTTCCGTGCAGATAAGAGAGCAGCTCGGGCACAAGATGCGCACGGTGCGCGTGGCGGTGCGGCCGGCCTGGTGACTGACCCCTCTCGGCGTGCAGGCCGGGCGGGGCGTCAGCCGGGCGTCAGCCGGGCGTCCCAGTCTCTAAATGGGCGGCTTCCGCCTGGTTCGCCTGGGCCAGAGGTGAACATGCACGCCGCGGCCAACGCCAGCCAACGCGTCCAAACGGCCCATCGGCTGATCGGGCCGAAGTCGCGCCTGCTGCTTCCAGTGGCGACGACGACGCCGTGGCGTCCGCACTCGGCCCCGATTGCCGGGTATCTGCCGCGCCGATACGGAAAGACAGGCAAAAGCCCAGACAGAGAGCGTTAGTCATTGATAAGGCGGCTGCGCTGCAGCCATGCTGCAGGCTGCGGGCGTGCTCTCCAACTCGCTCCCACTGCCACCCCCGCGGGACCCTCTCGCTCCCTTTCGAACGCGGAGAGCGGCGGAAAGTAACCGGGCAGTGGTGGCCTTGACTCTGGAAGCCAACAACGCCGGCAGCCCATTTCTGTACTTCTAGTAACTCTCACCGCGCGCGATGGCGATGCCGCGCCGGTACGGCACTGCCGAAATAACAAACATGCGGGCTGACCGGGGCTGACCGCGCGTGCGGTTTGTTCCCGTCCCGAAATGACCGCATTAAACAGTGCGGGATAAATTCTGCGGAACAAACAAACCGCAAACCCCCGAGTACGCGGTGCGCCCTGAAACAAACAAAGTCTTTTGCGACATGGTTAACGCAGCAACACCTGTAATAGAAATTTTTCCCGCATCGCGGGGACGAATTTTAGTTCTTGCTACTTCACGTGAATTGTGCACTGCCTCTGCACCCGCGTGTCGACGCTTGACAGGCAGCGAAAGGGAATAACGCCCTCGGCCGGCGGGCTGTAGACTGATTCCGAGAGTCGTTTTCGTCGCTCTGTCTCTGTCGCACTCATGGGGCGTGCAGCATAGGTGCGAGAGTAACAGAGCGGCGAAAACGACTCTCGGAATCAGTCTGCTGTACAGCCGAGTACAGCCGACTCGGCAGCGAATTGGATTCGAGACGCGCCTCTACGTGCCGGCCTGACGGGCCTGACGGGCCTGACGGGCTGCCGCCCCGACGCGGCCGCCTGCACCTGTGCGACGGCGAGGCGGCAAGGCGGCAGCGTTGTTGACGCCCTTTGTGATGACAGGTCGTGCCGGTCGCCGTGCGCTGACTCAGACTCGTGCTTCGCCCTCTCGCCGCCGCCGCGCTCGACGACCCCTGTGGCGCCCCAGGGCCCCCACGGCCCCCACGGCCCCCCGCGCCCCGCGCTATGCCGGGGCCAAGGCCCCACGTAGCGAACGGGGTGGACGTGGAGGGGCTGCTCCGCGAGGCGCGACGCGCCCTGGACGTCCTGGACTCCCCGCCGACCCCCGACGACAATGCGGGGGTGCCGGCAGTGGCCGCCGCCGGGGCCGACGGACGGCCTGCCGGGGGCTGTAGCGGTAAGTTCGGCTCGGAGTACAGTGGCGTGGCGAGCCCCACGCGCCGCGAACCGCCAGGCACCGGTGTGGCTACACCCTAAAGCCTAAAACAAGAGATTTAAATAAATTCAAAAATGCTTTTTATGTTTTCCTCTGGAATCAGCTGAGGACATCGCGCTGCTGCGACAACTGCTCGTCAAGGACCCCCACCGCATCAGCGTGAAGCACGACTACCACATCCTCCGGGTGAGTGAGGCATGCCCTGCATGCCTTGCCTCAGTGACAGCCCCAGCCCGCCGCCCGCGATTCGCCGGGTAGGCAATCCGCACACGCCCTTGCGCTGCAGGCCGAGGCGTTGCCTACCTCGCCTTTACCATTACCATTACGGGCTAGACCACAGCGGATTTAACCCCGTTTCGGGACCGACACATGTCCGCCTGCACTGCAAAACGAGACCCGCAGGTGCTGTGCTCGGTTCGCCCGCCCCGGCGCTCTAGCCGCGCTTTCGCCAGATCCGCGTCTGTTTACTGAACTTTGTCTGGGGCCTTCTAGACGGGCACTTTGTGCATGTTTATCTGCGCAGATGGGCTGCGCACGTTCACTCGCTTCGGCGGCCTCACGTGCACGCTTATCCACTTTTGGAACAGCCGCCGCCTAGATTTGCCATTCCTCAGTTCTAATTTTAATTCACTTTAGGTTTGCCCGTTGTTGGTCGCCAAACACACTCGTCTCACTCAAGCCGCGGCGCGGCGTGCAGGTTGCAGACAGTGAAGTCAAATACACGGCTCACTCACACACCGTGTTTGCTGCCGCAGTCCGTGATTAGCGGGTGCTGGGGTCTCCGCCACAGTGATGGTGCCGACGACGGGGTCCCCGCCGGGGCTGCCACCGAGGGGCAGGTCCTGGTGCTGGCGCTGGTGCTGGCGGCCCGGCTGCCCCTGGACGGCTTGCTCCTCGCGGCGCAGGCCCTGTACCACGCCCTGCCGGACACCCTGGCCCTGGCACTGCTGCGGACCCTGGCCCAGGACCCCGGCTGGAAGGACTCGGCCGTGCTGGCGCTGCACCACGGGCTGCTGGCCGTGGCCGTGTCCCTCGTGCCCTGCCTGGACGAGGAGGGTGGCGCCGAGCAGACGACGCGCAGGCCGGGGCAGCCCTCGGTCGCTGGCCCCGGCCTGCGCCGGGCGGTGGTCGACGCGGTGCTGGGCGCCACCATCAAGTGCACGCTGCGCGAGTGCAGGGCCACCTCGCACCGCACCAAGGCCGCCTTCAAGATGCTGCTCGCGTACCTCTGCACGGTGAGTGGGTGCACATCCTCCGTCGTCGTCGTTCGATAAATCGACACTAAACGAGAGCTCCCCTTCGAGTGCAGGTGACGCGGTGGCGGCGAGTGCCGGCCGAGCTGGACGAGATCGTGATGCTTGTGTCGACGAGCTGGGAGGTGCCGCTGCCCGGCGTGCGCGAGTCCAACGAGGCCGTGCTGGTGCAGCTGCAGCACATGGCCGTGCAGAGCGCCGCCTGGCCGAGGCCGTCCGAGAGCGTGGCCGAGGCCGAGGCCGTGGTGGAGGCCCTGCGACGGATCCGCGACACTGCCGGCCGCTGGGCCGCGGTTCTGCACGCGACGTCGTGGCGCTCCAAGGACAAGTACCTGCAGCTCAAGGTGCTGGCGCCGCACTTGGGCCGGGCCGCGCTGCTGTGCGACATGGACGCCGTGCTCATGGAGGGGCTGCTCCTCGGCACGGCCGACCCGCACCTGGCCTCGGCGGCCACGGCCGTGTACCGCGTCATCCTGGCGGCCATCGACGTGGACGCCTGGCACGGCCACTGCTTCAAGCACGTCACTCAGGCCCTCGCCGCGCGGGACAGGTACACGCCGTGCTTAACGCGTGCGTAACCGCAAGCAACAAGGGAACGTTACACCTCGTCTTTTTCAGGAAGCTGGTCATCAACGTGCTCAACTACTGGGTCAGCCCCACGGTGAAGGCGTTTCCGAGCACGCTGCCCTCGCTCCTGGCCGCCATGAAGGGCCCCATGGACGCCGCCATGGCCGGTGACAGGGCCCACGAACACACATTCGCCCACGCCGCCTTCCTGCACCTGCTCAAGATCGGCCGCAAGGAGGGGTTCTGGGACCCACTGGATCCGGCCCCCGAGGTACGTCCCGAGGCTGTCCGTCGTGTGTTAAGCCAGGAAAGTGGTTGTTTGACCCCTGCGGGGCGCTCTCGTGCTTGCAGGTGTCGGAGTACTGGGCCGCGGTGCAGTGGGGGCTGCGCCACGGCGACACGTGGGTGCGGGGGGTGGCGTTCGCGGCCGCGTGCGTGTCGGCTCGGCCGCGGCAGCCCGTGAGCGCGCGCGAGTTGGAGGCCGCGATGCGCTTCCTCGACGCCAACGTGCGCTCCGACGACACGCGGCTGCGCCACTCGCTGCTCGAGTCGCTGGGGTGGCTGCTGATGCGCGTGCGGACGTCGCTGCGGACGCTGCTGGCGCTTCCCGGCGGCGACGCGGAGGACAACGCCGAGCTGGCGGCCGCGGCGCGCTTCCTCGCCGACCTGCACCTCTTCGTGCTGGACGGGTTGCAGCCAGGCGCCAACTACCAACGGCGTGCCACCTGCCTCGGCGTGTACCGACTCATGCTCAGCTACTTGTCACCGGAGCCCGGCCAGCCCGGCCAGCCGGCCGCGGCCTCGGCCATCGGCCTCAAGAAGGGCGTCAGCAAAGACCCCATGCCGCGCAGCGCCGTCGTCAGCCGCCACCTCTGCCTGGGGTCCGCTGCTGCCCGACGCGTGCTGCTCAACTGCATCATGGACCCCACGGACGACGTGCGCGCCAAGGCGGCCGAAGTCCTGGCCATGCTGCCTGCCGACGCCGCGGGACGCCGCGGACGCCGCGGACGATGTCCACGACGCCCGAGGCCTGCCGACCTGGGACCACGTGCTGGCGCTGTGCAACAGCCCTCTCTTCTTCCAGGCCGAGAGTGGCGCGGTGCTGGGCGCCGTGCTGTGCACGTGGGACGGTAAGCGACGCCTCACTCTTTGCCGCTTGGCGTTGCAGGCACACGCGTAAAACTGATTCCTAGCGTCGTGCCTTGCAGAGCGCCACGTCGAGCCCATGGACTTGGTGGCGGCGTGCGAGCGGCAGCTGGCCGCCCTGCGCGCCGACGTGTTGAGCGCGGCGTCCGAGGGCAGCCCCCTCCACGGCCTTCTTGGCCTGGTGCGCCGCCTGCTGCCGGCCAGAAGCGCCCAGGGCAAACGCGAGGCGGGCCGGTGGGCCGGCGCCGAGGGCCGCTTGCTGGGCCTGCTGGAGGACAACGTGGACCTCTGCCTCAACCTCCTCGCCTGCAGGGCGTCGTCCGACTCGGGTAAGTTCGTGCTGTCGGGACGGGACACACTGGTCCGAATGGCTGACAAGACCGTCGTGTTGCACTTTGCAGCGTTCGCCCCGAGCTTCGCAGAGATGGGGGAGGCCATCGACAGCATGGTGTCGCGGCCGTCGTCGGACGTGGAGGTGGCGGACGAGGAGGCGCTGCCGCTGACGCTCTCCCCCGCGCACCAGCTCGTGCTCAACTGCATCTGGCTCAACCTCAAGGCGAGCTGCGCGCTGGCCAGCGACCTGGCCGAGGTGGACTTCCCCGGCCTGGTACAGAGCTGCTCGCGGCGCGACTTCGCGGAGCGGTGCGCCCGGCTCTCCGTCGTCGTGCTGACGCGGTGCCGCCACAAGGGCGCCATTGAGGCAGCAGGGACGGCCCTGCAGCAGGTCGTCAGGACCCTCACGGAGCAGGCGGACTTGGCGCTACGGTTAGTGGGGGGGGATCCTTCATGTGCAACTCATGGTGCGCTTAGAACAGCTGGATTAATGTGCGTTTCCTTACCTCAGGCGACTTCCTCACACTCTGCTGATGGAGTTCATGTCGCTTCTCCTGGAAGGGAGCACCGCGAAAGGGACCTCAGTGTCGAGGCGGTCTGCAGGGATGGCTATTTTGGTGCATCGTGTTGTCCTGGGGGATCAGCAGCCGGATAAGGTGTGAATCCATGTGTACATTTACAGGGTGATTGTGTGGTTTTGAGGGGTCTCGTTTGACACGATGCTGAGCCGGTCTTCCTCTTTTTCAGCCTCTACTGCATGATTGTATTTCCTGTTTGTTTGAGCTGCTTGGGTGCAATGTGAGCCAGTCTGCATTAGAGGGAGCTCAGCACGACCTTCCTCAGACCCAAGCCTTGCACTTTCTTCGCACGTTGGTGGCTGATGCTTCCTTACGTGTAGCAATGTCACCTTACGTCTGTCAGGCTGCCCTCTTTTGCTTCAGGCACCTTAACTCACCTGTATGGAGTATACGGTATGCTAACATAAATGTGTCAGTGATTTTTAAATTCAAATTGTTTGCTTGTCAATTTTAAAATTGGTTTTTGTTTTTACTTCAGAAATGCAAGTCTTCAGCTTTTCGGTGCTCTTGTGCCAAAAATTGTGGGCCAAGGAAAATCATCCAATGATGCTGAAGAAGAGGATGATACTTTAGTAGGGTGCATCAGTTTTGGAGACTTAGTAGTTCGCTTTAATCCTCTTTGTAATCTACTGCTAGAAATTTTAAAATCTGTACCAGCTGAAGGGAATGTACTTAAAAACCAAGCAGAACTTATTCCTGCACTCTCTCTTTTGGCACGATTGTCAGTTTCAGAACTAGTCCCGTGGTTGGAAGGGGAGTATAAATGTGTGAAATCATCTTTCCTGCAACTTTTGTCTAGTCCTATTTCAGTTGTACGTTCTCTAGCTGCCAAGGCCTTTTCAAGGTACTCCTCATGCCTTTTGAAACATGCCACCTCTGTGTTTTATGTTCAAATATTTCTGATTTCCAAATTTTTTTTGTAGGTTTACTCCTCTTGTTGGCTCAGCAAGTGCTTTTGAAGAGCTGTTGGAAATTCTACTAAAGCAGAGTAGTACTGAAAATGGCAGGAATGGAATTCTGACAGCCATGAAACTTATTAAAGAGTATATCAATCTAGAAGGCCAACTTACACAGGCAGCTATTTCAGAGAAAGAGAAAATGTCTTACTTAATTCGCAATAAAATGAACAACTGTAACTGGAATCTGTAAGTTCACATGCAATATTATTTGTTTGCCCGTTCCCTTTCTCTAGTCTCTTGCATTAATACGACTTTTTTCTTTCAGTTTATCTTACGCAAGTCAAGCTATAGTTTTATCTATTTTGGAAGTGCAAACTAATCTTGAAAACGTGGAAACCTCTCTTCAAATTTTAAGTAAAATATCCTCTGTTACTGGACAAACTAATATTGGAATCACTCAATGGGTATCTGCAAATATGAGACATATTGTGACTGATTGCAAAATTGAAGCCTTGCCAACTATTTTAAACAAGTCTTTAGGCCTGCCGAGTAGTACTGATGTTCCAAGGTAAGTTGTAAGACAAGTTGGGTTGATCTTTAAATTTCTGATCATTGTTATTTTGGTCAATAATTCATTTCCTCTTCTCCCGACAGGGCTGCTGCGTTGTATGTCCATAGAAGGTTGAATAGAAATGTTTCAACTACTGCTATGCAAGAAATTTTAAACGTGTGTATGAACAACCTAGGCAGTACTTCAACCCTCTCTAATTATGAAACATTCCATGTGTTAAATATAATTTTAAAAATAATTGTCATTGTCAGTGACAGACAGGCAACTCTAGTTTGTGACATGGATAAAGTTACCCAGATATCACAAGATTTATCCTCATCAAAACTTGGTGCTCGTTGCAAAGCTATCACACTTCCCATTTTAGCAGGGCTAATAATGTTTCTTGTAAGCAATTGGACAATGCAGGAAGGTCAAATCACAATTTTAATCATGGAAATATTTTTGGAAGATTGGCAGATACTCTGCAAAAGTATAGTCTGCCTGATAATGATGAAGACTACCGGTTTGCTGCTGCAACAGCTTTGAGATTTGCTGGGACAGTGGTGCAGCATAGGAGGCACTTGAGCCCAAATCAAGAAGAGTCAGAAGAGAACATAAAATCAGAAACTACTTCTTTAATTTTACATACAGCCATTCGGCTACTTCAAGATGAGGACAGTCAAGTACGAGATGAGGCGTCTAAATTCGTAACGTATCTTTTCCAAGCTGTTCCCAGAACATTAAATTCATTGGAATGCTTGGAAGTATTACTTACTTGTGAATTTCTGTGCCTCTTTTTGGGAAGTAACCAAAATGTTGTAAGGTTCTTGTGGCAGTTTTTGTCTATAGAAGATCTAAACTTAAGCTTATCTAAAGACAATTACATAGAGAATCCATTTGATCATGGGTCAAAAAATATTTTCTCTGAAGAAATATGGATTCTTGAGAAAGCTGGCAGATCATTGACAACCATTAAGAAACAAAACCTGGGCATGGAAACCTTCAGCTTAACCATCAATGAGCCTCCAATTGCAACTACTCAGCTCCAGAGAAACTTATCAAGTTTGGAAACATTAGGTCAATGCAAATCAGATAAAAGAGGTAATGCTTAATCATCACTTGTTATGCATGAACTTTGGAATTGCTTCAACATTGTATTGTCTTCTTTCCCAGGTTCTGTTCGAGAAAACTGGTTGGCAGCTGCTATGTGTTTACAGATGAGGAAAATCAATTTTAGACTTGACCTGCTCTCTAAAGACATTAATTCAGAGTGTGTAACTCTTCATAAAAAAATGTGCAATGTTTCAAATTTTACATTTTATTTGTAACTTGAGTAAAAATAAATAAATAAATAAATGTCTTTTGTAATTTGTAAAAAGAAAAGGGAGCATGTTTCATTTTACAATTTGATTATCTGCCCTACCAAAATCAAGTCGAAAAAAGATTATGGATTCTGAAATAGATCAATGGCCATAAATCTCCTCTTCCTTCACCAAGGCTGCAATCTCATTTTCAAGTTGTCCGAAAACCACACTCTGTTCCTTAGTATTTTCTTGAAAGTCAAATCTGGAAAATAAAGGGTGGAATAATCTTAGGTGCACTCATCAAGCAGTGAATGAAAGGATATCCATCCAACACTGTACTTACATTAATGCATCTAGCGTGTCAGTTCTAAATTCAGTAGTAGAAGATCCTGGCAATTCCAAAAGAGTGAAAGGCTCGTTCTCCATTAATCTTCTAGATGTTTCAATGTCTGGGTCCCATGTACTCTGAATTTCGAAAGAAATTTCTTCAAATTCTTTCAGATATACCTCAATTTCATCTGATACTTTTTCAACAGCCTGTTGAAAATGAAATTAACTTCAGCGGCTACAAATACATGATTAAAAATAACGAAGAAAAGATATGTCACCTACAAAACGACCAGGTGCCGATGTAAATCGATGACACATATCAGTTGTTTGCTCCTTCAATTCATCCCTAGAAAGTCAGACAGATGTGACAAGTATTTAAACAACAACAGTTTTAGGAATGCAGGAATGTTGGTACTCACAGTAATTTGTCACAATGCTGAGTATATATATCAACTTCTTCCCTGAGGGAGTTGCATTCTGCATTATGCTCCAAGGATGTTTGTTCCATCAAATCATTGAGCGATTTCCAATGTAAAACTCGATTGTCTTTCTTTGTCACCTCATCTGAAAAGTTTTAGAAAGTCGTACACAGATCATCATCATCAGACATTAGAGGGATGAATTGTGGTAAATACCTGCATGTCCCTTGGAGACATTTTGAGCAGTGGTTAGTTCCAGTTTTGTATCCAGCAATTCTTGAGCCGCCAACCGTCTCAAACTTTCTACCCTTGGACGATTCAGCTCCTGAGATGAAACCGAGGGGTCAGTGCAGGCTAAGGATAGAACACCGTGGAGCAGTCGCAAGAATGTTTAATCAAAAACGATCCGCAAAGTACTTACTAACATCTCAGCAAGAACAGATTCCATTCCAATTGAAGAACTCATTTTATCTTTCTCCCTTGAATCCGTGGGAGAAAAAAGAAATCCAAATCAAACCGAAACGTTGCCGCAACCGGAAAACAGGCGCGCGTGGGGTGAACGGCAAGCCGGAAACAACAACTGACAACCGATGCAACCATTCCATGGCTGCCAGTCGAGCAAAAAAGCAAGATTTTGTAACGATTCTACTCATTCAAAAGACATGGTTTCATTCAAAAACCTCGCACATTGTCATTTTCAACTCCACTAAAAAAAAAAACAGGTGACAATGATATCTCAAGTGTGCTTAAAATATATGATGGCGACCCTGCTGGCAACAAATGACTAACGCCATTTAAAAGTAAACCGTCTGCTCCAACAACAGTGTTTTCTAACTTTTATGTCGTTCAGTTCAGTGTTGTTTTAACTGCAAGATTTGTTTGTTTCTGACAATCAAAAGAATTAATCCACCAAGGTAACCTAACCTAACCTTATGAATGTCTCTTGTTTCGAGGCAGAAAATTTGCTGGTTTTTGACCACCTGCAGCTGCACTGTTTCCTTGATTTTCAGCAGTCTTGAAAAATGAGTGACATATCTGGACATAATGATTCCTCAATTCTGCGCGAGTTTTCTTCTCAGTATGAAGATATATGTTCTCAAAATAAAGAACAGGCCGGAATAATTGAGGTAAAATAGATCTACGTGTTAGTGAACTGATGTTTTGCGACTTTTGTTTTTACTACCTTACCGTTGCCAATCCGTTTTCAAGGCATTGCAGCAGGAGGTTCACAGTTTGAAAAACCGCTTGCAAGTAGCCGAAAAAATCCAACTGGACTACCAATCAGAACTGGACTGCCAACAGCAACAAATCAATGATGCGAATGATCTAGCTTCCATTGCAGCACTAAAATTAAAGGAAGATCATGCAATAATCGTCAAAGGACTTGAAGACAAGGTTTTTAGAAGTCCCAATTGTTATTTTTATTTTGTATGACCAACACTAATATTTAGTCATTGCATAAACCACATTGCATCTTTTATATTATTTTAGGTCCACAGTCTTGAATCTGAATTACAAGAGGTGACCAATGCATTAGCTGCCACTAAAGATGAGCTGCTCAAAGCCAAGAAAGAAATAAAAGATTGTCAAGATGTATCACCTGTTGCCTCCTTGAAGACACAACTGCAAGAGTTAATGGTATGACTGGTCATGAAGACTGTCTTGTGATCTTGTAGCAATTTACCAATTCAAATTAGCTTTACCCATTGTGTTTCTAGGAGGAACATGCAGCTAACAGATTAGCTTGCGTTCAACATCTAGAATTGAATCAAGTCCTACTGAAAGAGAAGGCCTATTTAGTAGACGAGCTCAATGCAACAAGAGAACATCTCGAAATAACTGGCGAAAAGTTGAAAATTTGCAAAGAAGATATGCTGCAACAATCTGAAACATTAGAGGTTTGTATAATTGAGTCTATTTCTATTCAAATAACTTTATTACCCATACCAGTCCAATTAGACCAAATACTAATCAGTGATTTTTGGGGATTTTTTTTTGTAGGACCTTAGAGAATCTCTGGCTGTTGCTCAGAATGAGTTAACTTGTCTCCAATCCGGCCCTCCTCCAGAGAAACAAGGAAACTCACTTTTTGCAGAAGTGGAAGATAAGAGACAAGCTATTCTAGCACGGAATAAAGTCCTGTCAAAAAGGTACATTGAAATGAAAATGGATTATGGTTCAAAATGTGATGAAATCTCTAAGCTCAAAGTAAGTCTACATTTTACAAAGTTAACATGCCTTTGTATGTTTTATTGTGCATGTACATTTTTAACTACGTGTCTCTTGTTTGTTAGATGGAAAATCTCAAACTGCGTCAGAAGTGGCGAGATGAAGCAGAAGAAAGGGATAACAGAGATGTTTGGCTTAAAGACAATTATGAAATCAGAATTCAGGTATGGTTGTTTAGTTTGTTACATGTTTGGAACCTTAACAGGGTGGAAAAGAATTTAAGTTACTTTGTTTTCCAGGAGCTCTATAAATTAGTTGAGGATTTGAGGCGTGAAGAGAAACCAGTGTTTGTCAATGGTAATGCACAGATTTTGGCCTATGCAGACCAATATGTTGATGAAAAAAAGTATGTAACAGAACGTTCAATTATTTCTATTAGTCTAGAAAAATTTCAAATATTGTTCCTATTTTATTTTTGATCAGGAAAGAAATAGTGAAATTAAGGGAAGAAATGGAGTTGAGGTCTGCAACACGGCTTAATGAAGCTAAAGCTTTGTATTTGGCAAGGAGCAAGGTCCAGACCCTTAATGCTGAAGTTATGCTTCTGAATGCTGAGAATCTTGTACTGCGAGACAAATTAAATGAAGCCAATATAACAGATATACCATCACCAGGTATGAGAAGAGGAACCATAAAAAATTAGTCAAAATTTAGATGCAGATCTTTACTTGGTTGAAAAATCAAGGAAAGTCTATGGACTGAGTTCCTCATATGACATTTTGTTTTGTCTTTTTTTCAGGAAAAACCGTCAAGCGCATTAAAGAGGTATGGGGAAGTGTTACAGAAGCAAAGTCTTGCAGTCCACTTGAAGAAACCCTGAAATCTTGTAGTTATGTTGATGAAACATCTTGTAATTCAGTTTCCAAGACACCAGAGCCTTCTAGTAGCGAAGCACCAACAGCCTGTGAGGAGACCAATACTACCCAGAGCCAATCAGAAGAACCAAGTTGCCCACCACCTATTTCTTCCAACCAAACATCAATTTCTTCTATCATTAGAAGCATACCAAAACCTCAACGTCTTCTCAGAATAGAACGCATGGAAAAGCTCAATGCTGTTAGTAATGATGAAGAAAAGTCACAACCAGAAAGTGCAACTTGTGGTATCAGTCCTGATGGAAGTGATGTCTCAACTTGAAGATGTATCATTGATAAATCCAGATAGGCAGGAGATGTTTGTGACATTCCCAAAGAGAGTGACCCAGAGACTGATGAAAATGCACAACATAATGAGCCAATTGATGCTTCACCATCACATCTAGATCACATTCAAGAGCCCATAGAAAATTCCTGTGTTGTGGAAGATAAAGAGAATGAAGCGCCCACATTTAGGTCCTCATTTGTGATGAAACCCGCCAATTCACTGCAGGAAGAAAAGCATACTGGTGGTGTGTGTAGTGAAGAAACTCTGCATCCTTCAGACTTTAAAGAGCCTTCAATTCAAATCATCAAGCAAGCGTGTGAAGTGTCAAATGAGAGCTGGATTGAACCAGCAATTGAGACGGGGAGACAGCCTCGACAGTCTATTCTAACTAAACCATCAGGGCTTTCTCTGATGCCAATCGACCAAAATGTGACGAGGAAGGTGAGATTTGCTGATCCATCCAACAAGGAAGAAGAGAGTCAAACAAGTGACCAGAAGACTACTTTTAAACATAAATTGCCCAGGGCACCTAAACCGTACAAAACTAGATATATTGTATCAAAAGAGCTGGACTAAAAACATTTTATCGGTGTAATTATGAACTAACAGTGTGAAGGGAGGGTATCATTAGTATCCATAGTATTTTTATCCCTGTAAATATTTTTAGAGTACAAATTGTTTTATTGAAAGTAAATAACTGATTATTCTATATTTTTTAATAGCTCACTGTATGCAGATCTTATACAAGATTTAGTTTCTGTGTTCACCCATTCAACCCACTCATGGGCCACCGTTTTCTGCATGGTGCATTCTGAAAAGACATCACTTCGACTGACCTACAAGGAAAAGAGAACAATAAATATGATATACCGAAGGAAATTAAATCTCATAAAAGCAGCTAGTTAATGAAATTCACCTCTACAAAACCTATTTTGGTGAACATTTTAATGCTAACAGCATTGTCCAATTTTATCTTCACTTCATAGATTTTTACATCGAGTTCTTCTATACCTGTCAGAGAATTTCAAAATATGTATGCTATTTCAAACGGTAATTATCATGTTTCCCAAAATAAATTATTACCATATCTCAGCATCAGTAGCATTGCCTCCCACCCTCTCTTATTCCCTCTTGCCCCTTCCTCTGCAATCATAATTTCTGCCTCGGCTTGATGTCGATTGTCGTCAGAGAAAAAGAAATTGGTATCTCCTATCATGGCATCTTGAACATAAACAAGCTATTCGTAAAATGAATGATAAGAACTAATTGCAAGCACAATTAAAAATTACCAATTTCATCTCTGCCATTTTCATACATCAGTTTATCAAGAACTATGAATGTGCACTCTGTAAAAAAGCAAAACAAGCAATTAGCAGTAGTCTCACATTGAATGAAAAACACAATGACTTGCTCAAAGTTAATTACTGTCGTTGTCCAAATGCCAACTCTTTTGCATTTCATATTCTTCCTGGAGCGTCAGTGGCTCTGAGCCAGTTTGATGTTGCAATTCCTCAGACTTCATCCAATTGTGGTACCTACATGAACATAATAGAGGTTAGGGTTTCGGGGCTTGACTCTGTAAAGACTCACTTTCGGAAATAACGCAGGCTCACTTGGGCACGTGGTGTTCTTTGTACGGGACCAAAATCACGGATTTCCCCACGATACAAGTATTTTCATTCAACCTCATGTTGCGGGGCTAGGGGCCGCCAGAGATCAGCTGTTTGCTTCGCTGTTTTTAATCTGTCCCGCCCGGAGTGACGCTCCCCGCTTCCCCTTCCTTCCCTCAGATCCCCTCCCCCGCCCCCTGCCCTTTCCCCCTCCTCTCCATGCCTCATGCCGACCGCCCCCGCCCGCCGTCACGACTGGATTTCCCCTTGCACAATCTTATTCAAAAATTCGCTCCAACGAAATTTATGACATTTCCTGCGAGGAAGTGCGTCACCACGCGAGAAGCCTGGGAACCATTTAGGGAGCGGCCGTCCGAGGGAATCGCAGGGACCGCTCGGTTTTTGGGTGTTTTGGGGTGGCAAAGCCCTGATTGTCATGGGCACAGGCACAGCGCGCACGCCACGTGGGCGGGATGCAGCCATGCACAGCCATGCCGCTATTGTGTCCATGACAACAAGCCGTCCTCTGCTCTGTTTGTAAACAACGATGGCGACCTCCATTCCCTGTGACATCGCGAGGACCTCCTGCCAGCGAGTTGATTTCGCTGTTGACGCGTTCGGAGCGTCGATTAAGGCGAAACGCGTCGAAGCCAGTCCGCGTGGCCGGAATGCTTGAAGCGCTTGAAGCAGCGCCGCGGCCCGAGTCGAGGACCGAGTCGAGGACCGCGTCGAGGACGTGACGGAGAATGTACAACACTGCCCTGGCGTGCTCCAGCGACAGTTTCGGCCCCAAGACGTACACCTTTGCCAGTCCTCCGCGAGCCGTCGCTCCGGGCAGGAGGAAGTATGGCAAGAACCCGCAGCCGCCGTCGTAAGTAGTTTCATTCTAATCGGCTGGAGGGAAGGGTCGCTAGCCTTACGCTAGCCCAGGGTGCGCGGTACACTGCGGTGATTCCACCATTCCACCTCACCGTCGCAAAGAAACGGCAACAGCCCCCTTCCCCCAACCCTCTCTTTCTCTTTCGCGCACGCAACTGTCGCAGTGACCTTGATTTTGAGTCGGCCGGTCCGATTCGTTGGCGGGGGTCAGTTGGAGGTGTCCGGCTGGCCAGGGCGCCAGGGTGCCAGGACGACGGGGCGGTGGGAGGTCGGCGAGGTCCGCGACGACGACCTTGCGCCCCGCCGTGACCAGCCCGCTGTAGCGCTGGGGCTGGGGCGGCCCTCGACGTTATCGCCACATCGCCTGCATAATGCGACGGCCAGCCGCGGCCAGCGCAGCAACGCCCCCCTTCTCTCTCTCTCACGCGCCGCGCGGCCTGGCGGCCTGGGGCGTGCCGGCGGTGCGACAGAGTGCAACGTGACGACGGCACGACGGCGACCCTTGCGGCGATCCGCGCGAGATCTCACCTGTTCGATTTCGAGCGTGCACTGCACTGCACTGCATGCGGCCCGGAGGCCAGGAGGCCCGGAGGAGGGTGAACGCCCTTGAGTGCAGGGGCCGCGCCCCTGATGAAAATGAAGGATAACGTTTGGAGCCTGGAAGCTTGAACGAAGCGTGAGCTAAGCATGAACGAAGAGGTAGTGCTCCGCTTACGCTCCAATCTCTTCGTTTATGCTTCCTTCCTGGCAGGGGAAGCCTAAACGGAGGTGGTTCCTCCTTCGTTTACGCTCCGTGTCTGACCGCTTCGTTTCCTCTTCGATACCACTCCGTTCATGCTTCCCTCCTGTCACGGCAAGCTTAAACGAAGGTGGCGTTTTCTTCGTTTCCGCTCCGAGGCTGACATCTTTACTTACGCTCCGATACCACTCCGTTCATGCTTCCTTTCGACCGGGGAAGCTTAAACGAAGGGAGCGCTCTCCTTCGTTTACGCTTCGTGGGCTGACCTCTTCGTCAACTCTCCAATACCTCCTCGTTTACGCTTCCGGCGACACTTAGAGAAAATTGCAATGAGTTGGCTCTGAGGCTGAACCATGTTGCAGCCGTACCCCCTCCAGTGACCCCAGCCGGGGGTGGGCCCGGAGAACACTCTCGCTCAGATAGTCAGGTGCTGTGTAAGGCATGCTCCCCAGACATCCTCCGTGGCGCAGTTGGCAGCGTCTTCAGCTTTGAGGTGCACCGAGGCGGCGTCGTGGGTTCAAAACTTCTACAAGCATCACTTTCGGCGCTTCCTGCGCGTGGATGAGTCAAACGAGGCACCAGGCTCGGAGAATCATCAGGAGGTAGCCTCGCCGGTCTGTTCCCTTTTACCCATTGCCACTCCGGTTATGCTTCGTTCAAGCTTCGTTTATGCTCCGATGGTCTCGAAGCCTTATGCTTCGTTCAAGCTTCGTTTATGCTCCGATGGTCTCGAAGCCTTATCCTTCGTTTAAGCTCCGCCGAAACAAGCGTTTACTTTCGTCCTTCGTTTATGCTTCGTTTTACCTCCCCGTTCATCCTTCGTTTACGCTCCGTTTTCATCAGGGGCTCTGTATGCGCGTCGTTAACTCTGGAATGCCATTATTTCATGGCTCAAGGCAACCGTTGGCTACCGGGGGCACTTCAAGACGTCCGCCCGCGTGCAGGCCGCGCAGGCGTCCGTGCCGCCGGGGCTGATAAACAGAATGCCAAGCCGGTGCTATTGAACCCGGGGCGGCCGTGGCCGAGCAGTGTATATTGGCGACGGATTGTTTCCCTGTCCACTTGTCACGGTGCTGCCTCCGTGTGCGCAGGGCAGGTCGCGCAGGTTTAGACTAGGTTCAGTTGGCGGGCCGTGGCGCCGTGGCCGTGGACTGCAGGGTGGCTTGGGCATGCTTGGGCGGGCAGGGCGCCGAGGTGGTGGCCGCGCTGCGCGCTTCGATGGCACGGCCGATAAGGATAAGGCCAACGAGGCTCCGAGCGACTCAAGGGGCCGGCCAAGGGCCCGACCACTTCGAGTGGACGGTGGAGGCCTTGAAGTTTATTCTTGGCGAGGCGAGGGCCGCACTGCCTCAAGGGTTGACCACCACCACCCGCTCGGTCGGTAGCCGCTTCAAGGGTCGGCCGTGCGGGTTCGTTCGCGGTTCCTTCTTCACCCTCACCCGACGGGCCGGGCCGACGCCAAATAACACCCGATCGAGACCTCGGCCCTGATCCTAATTCGAGTCGGCCGGTCCCACTTCATCCTCGTGTTGCCCACCAAGCCGATTTCCGGCTGGAGTGCTTTCCTGCTGGCATTTATTTCCCCGCGCGAAAAAATTGCATTTTCACCGAGCGTGTACTAATAGCTTTGAATGATTACGAAGTTGGCTAATTTCGCGACTCGCGCTGGTTGGTCCTGGCGGCGTTTTGTGCCAATCACGCGAAGGTCAGGTAGACGGCTGTTATCGCTTGGCAAGTCGTGCAATTTTTTAAAATTGTTTTCCTTTTCAAAGTGTGACACTAGGAGGAAACGGGGGCAGCACAGGGTAACGCGTGCCCGAGTGAATGTCCTCTGCGCGGAGTGCATAGCGGCACCCTCAGCGATAAGTCAACCCGCCGCGGCCACCCCCACGCTGGGCGCAAACACTCGGCAAACACTCTGTGGGTGTGGGGGCGGGCTCCTCCACGTGGCGTCAAGTAAAATCCACGACACACACACGTTCTCGGTCTCGTGTCTCGCCTACGAAAACGCCTGGTTTTCAGTGGGTTGATTGCTTGCTCACGGGCAAGTTGGTTTTCGCCAAGGTCACAGCGAGGCACTTTTTCATGAGATTCATATTCAGATCCGCGCTTTTCCCATACTTCCTTGCTGTAATTGCTGATCGAACCGGGCTCGTCGCATTCTAATTAAGCAAGCCACACCGGGGCCGGCGTGCCCGGGCCTACCGTTCTGCGACCGGGCACAACAACCCCCTCCCGCCGGGCCTGGGCCTGGGCGAAGGCACGCCGTCGGCCCCCACCGGGGCGCGGTGCACCTGCGCCGTGCGGACGTCGCGCTGGGTGGGGGCGGTGGCGGTGGCGCGGCGGTGCGGGGGCCGTCCCTCGTCCAGCAGGGCGCCGCTAGCGCCCCGCCGCGCCCCTGGCCGCGCGCCGCTCCGCAGGGCGCCCCACCCCGCAGCGGGGCGTAGCGGCTCCTCGTCAGCTTAGGCACGCCCCCCTTGACGCCCCCCACGAGCCGGCCGGGCAGCCGGGCCGTAGGCCGGGCCGTAGGCCAGGCGCCCCGCTGGACAGAGGCGGCCTGCCCAGTGGCGGTTCGACGCTGCTCGACGCTGGGACTCTCACCCTGCCACCGCCAGTGGCACCGCCAGTGGCACCGACGACGGCGGCGTCGGCGCCGCGCAAATGTGTGCGCGTCGCTCACTGCGGGCCGCCCCTCCTCTTCCGCGCCGCCCCGGACGACGACGCCACCCTGGACGCCCTGGACGCCGGCATCATGTACGCGGCCAAGCCCGTCACCATCGAGATAGTGGCTAGCGGCGCCGGCCCGGCGGAGATATCGCTGGTGACGGCCGGCGTGACGGAGGCCGAGTACGTCGGCGACGCCGGGGCCTTCGCCTTCCAGGTGCGCCACGACGGCGAGGGCCAGGACAACGCGGACGCGCCGCCCGCCATCATGACGGTCAACAACAACCTCAACAAGCCGAGCAACCTCCGCGCCGAACACAAGGTGTACAGCCGATCCAACGGCCACCTGGACATGTCGCCGTCGGCGCCGGGCGCCATCAAGACCATGTTCAGCGCGTCCAACGGCCATCTGCCCAACAACCAGGTGCCTCCTAGCAAGAACAACAACAACAAGAACTTCTTCCTGTCGCGCAAGAACAACAACGACGCCAACATGAGCATGACGTTCCTGCAGAGCCTGGACGCCAAGCTGCAGCGCCTGCACGACTACGCGGGGCGCTCGCGTGGCCGGCACCGCAGGGCCGTCAACGAGGAGGCCAACAACAACAACAAGGACGCGCACAAGGTGCAGCACCCGCGGCCCTTCATGACCGTGGTGCGGCAGGGCACGTTCCTCAAGCCGCCCCCCGAGCTGGCCGCGCTGCTGGGGCTGTCGCCGGGGACCATGTCGTACGCGTCGTCGGCCGAGTCCTCGCTCAGCGCGTCGCACCACCAGCACGCCTCCTCGCTCAACTCCAGCATGCTGTACTCGTTCGCGTCCCGGCCGCGCGTGCTCATGCAGGCGCACCGGCACCACTGCGAAGCCGCCCCCGCCGCCCCCGGCGCCCCCGGCCGCAGCAAGCGCGCCGCCCCCGGCAACGCACCGCCCAAGGAGGCAGAGGACACGTGAGTCGCGACCAGCTTGGCGGCGAGGGAAAGGGCCTGGAGGGCCTGGACGGCCCAGTTTCAGTGCAGTGTTTCTAACCGCGCACCCGCCTCATGAGAAATTCATGGCTTTGGCGTTCACGGCGTTTTCCATCGCCGCGCGCAAGTGACGCATGATTTGCATCGTAAACAAGCGGCTGTCGTGGCGGCGCGAGACCGTTATCCTTGTCGCTCGCGCGGCCCGGCGCGTGCGCGTGCGAGAGAGAGGGACGGCGCCCAGCTGTGTGGGTTTTACGGTGTGGTTTGCAGAGTTTTGACGAGTCCCGCGCGCGTGCTGCGTGCCGCGATGCCACGGCCTGCCAGCGCGTGTATTGATTCGCGCGCGGTCCACCGATAGCCAATGATACAGTTTAAAATTAGCCCCATTAAGGATTGATTCACGAGCTGCCAGTCAACGGCCGCCTGGCCTCGCCCCTGGCCCCTGGCACTTCCCCCGTGTCTCCGCGCCCTCAAGGACTCGGGCTAATTGTCCCGTCGTTGCCCTCGGTGTGTAAGGCAAACTGTCGGGTGATTACTACCGCCTTGGCCGTCTTGACTCAGCTGGGACTTTGCCCGCCAACGTCACTGTCCGTCTGGCGAGTACCGTTAAAGGCCCCCAGAATTGATTTCTGCATTCACTGCCTAAACTGCCTGACGAATGCACGGCTTTCAATCAGACGCCCGTCCCGTGGTCGCGTGCGTTTTCGAAAGGGGTCGAACACGCGTGCCGTGTTTCGCTTCGGCCGGCGGACGCGCTTGGAAAAGGCGCGTAACCGTGTCAGTTGTGAGGCATTGACGCAACCCCCCGCGCCTTCCTTTTCAGCCCTGGCTGTGAGAGCGCGCTGCGCGCTGCTGCTCCACGCGGCCAGAGTTTACATCGATCCAATAGCCATTCGGTAGTAATAAAGGTGCCACCCGGCCTGGCCGCGCCTGCCCCGCCTGGCGGCTTCCGTTCCGCACAACGCGTCGTCGACGCGCACCTCGCCGGGCTGAGGCTGCGGCAGGCCGGGCAGGCTGTGCACGAGGTCGTGACCAAGGTCAAGAAGGCGACGAAGGCGGTGACAATAATAAGAAGGCGGGCCGCCGTGGCGGAGGAGGGGGTGGGGGCACTGTGAAGTGGCCGACCTGTCGGGCCCTTACACGCAAGCCGTCCGTCAGTGCGGTCCGCCAGGTCCGCCAGTGCGGTGCCGCCGAGCACTGCACTGCCGCGTGGTCTCGCCGGACTGCGCCAACCTTTCAAAAATTGACCGATCTGAGACGGCGAAAAATGTCGGGAAAAAAGAATAAAATAACAAAAAGACTTTTAAGACCCGCGGGTAATACACTTTCAAAGCATTCTTATGTTTTTTTTTAAATAAAAAATTAAAAGTAGGGTGCACCGTGCGCGATGAAATTGGGTCACTTGCCGTGTCAAACCTCGCCGTCGTGGCCACCGCTTCTGACCTCGCTGGAAAACATGCGTCGCCTCCGAAATCAATGGCAACCGGGACTGGATCATCAGGGCAGGCAGGGGCAGCGAACCGGCCGGGTGTTTGGTGTTTGCCGCGCCGCGCGATGAGAGATAAGCCCGCGCCAATCATCGCCGTGGGGGAGGGGGAGCGAGGGGAGCTTTGCACCTGACCCTGACCCCGTATGGAGATTCCTCCCCCACCTTTCAGAGCGCGGTGCCAGCGCGGCGCCGCCGAACTGAGTCGCGTTGATCCGTTTCTGATCGGGCGACGAATCGAATCGAAAGCGAAATCGGGGTGGAAGACGCGCCGCGCTGGGCGCGCTGCCGGGTGCAGACGTCCTCCCGTCCATGGAGCCCCTGCGGTCGAGAGGGCGGGCCAGCCCGCCGCGCACGGGGGCTCTGCATGTGGCCGCGCCGCGTCGCGCGGGCGGCGGCAGCGCAGCGACGCACAGTGGGCCAGAAGACTGGTGGAGGCGGACAAAGCTCCAGACGCGTTTTGAGCTCCAGAGTCGCTAAATGGGACTCGAACCGAACGTGTGACCCCACCAATGGATTGCTCTTCGAACGAGGAATCCATTGGTGGGGTCACACGTTCCGTTCGTGTCCCATTTAGCGACTCTGGAGCTCGAAACGCGTCTAGAGTTTTGTCCGCCTCCACCGGTCTTCTGGCCCACTGTGCGACGGCCGCCTTGCAGCTCCCGGCCGCCGGCCGCGCCGAAGCCGCCCGTCGTTTCCTGTTCCTGTGTTGCTCATTTCCGCCTCGGCCGTGCCTCTGTTGCAGTGACGACGGCCAGCTCTACTCCAACCTCATGTACGACCGCAGGGTCGTTCGGGGAAACACCTTCGCTCACCAGCCCGTGGCCGCGGGGGTGAGTACCGGCCGCACCGGCCCTCCATCACGCCGCTGGCCTTTGACATCGCCCACCCCGGCCCCAATGGGGGCCCCAATGGGGGCCCCTTGACCCAAATGGGGCTCCGGTCCGGATACGACCCCATTGCAATGCAAGGCCATGTGGAGCACGCAACGCTTGCAAGACAATTGCGAATTGCATCCGCGGCGCTACGGCCACGTCAAGATAGGAAGCACGGCGTCGGGGCCGCTCGGCCAGCGGGAGGCCACGGGCGTTACGTAATATCGAAACGTGACGCTGCGTGCGCGCCGTGAGCAAGTTTTGCCGCCACCGGAATCCATTATTGGTGTACTGCCGGGCGTGACGAAGGCTCGCGATGAGACGAGACGCACTCTCCGAGTTCGATCGGTTGGGCTGGGCTCTATTTCCGGGCGATAGGTGGACGGAGACACAACACATCGCGTGCCCAGCGGGGCTGGCCGGCCCTACCCGGCCCGGCGCGGCCGGCGAGGCACGAGTGGAGAGCAAAGGTTACTGCACTCCGGCCGGCCGGTCAGCCCCGCCGTGTGGCTGACCTCCCCGACGTCCGTCCCACTTTCTCCGCCAAAGTGAATCCCGTTGCCACAATCCGATCGGGCCAAACTGTTTGAGCGGCGCTACCCCCGGCCGCTGAACTGGACCGCCGCTACTCCGCGCGCGAGGGACCCTCCGCGCTGTGGCTGCACGGGCTGCCTCTGCGCGCGGGGTAGCGACGGCGTCTCTTCTTCGTCCCGGTGCTTGCTGGTTTCGTTTGGCTGCAGCTTGCGTGCGCTGCTTTCAATGTGCGGTAGGGGCGAGGAGGGACCGAGGCAACATTTTCGCTGCACGCGCTCATTCCGTCAAATTGGCAAAATAAGTCCTGCTGCTTATAATGTAACCTCAAAGATAAACTCGAAATTCGGCTCCGAGTGCACGAAAGTGAGGCCGCTCGGTCTCCTCCTGAGTCGCGAGTTGAGTTGTAGAGCCGGAACTAAGCCGTGTTGTTTGTTTGACAAAGCTGCTGCCCGAGTGGAACCCCCACTTTGCGTACGCCAGGCTTCTTAGCCAGGTGAGTTTTTTCTCCGTGAGGCCCAGTGCACCGTGCAGCACCGTGTCGCTTGAGTCACCAGGCTTCGGGCTGCTTCAGGCCGCGCTTGAGGTCCGCAACGCCACGCCTGGCCACGTCACGACGTCGCCGCTTTTCGCTTCGGAAACTAGTTTCGCTTGTGTCGTTTGCTTGGCTTTCGCTGTGGCGCCGACCTCCGGAGTCTTCAATTATCGCGCGGAGGGAAACGGAAAGTTCCGAGTCGAAATGCATCGATCTCTCGCGGCCGGTGCTGTCGCCGTGGATCGAGGGTCTTGGTGCTGACGTCACCGGCCGGCGGCAGAGTCCATCAGCGTCCAGGGGCAAGTCCGACGCTCCGACCAAATGGTTGCACAGCACGGGCGGTTGTTTTTTTTCTTTCAGGCGGCCTCGTCCGAATGGCTCAATACAGGTGAGGTTAAGGGTGGGCCATGTGGTGGCCGATGTGGTGGGCCATGCGGTGGGCCGGTGAACCAGCCAGGTGGGGCAGTCCAGGTGGCGGGCTGGCCGCGTGTCCCAAGACGGTTTGGGCCTGTCCAGGTTGCGGTTTCGCGGTCGTGGCGAGCTTGTCCTTGGCGGGCTCATGAATGAGAGAGACAGCGCTAGCACTGGCCACGAGGCCCGCAGCAGGCCGCAGGGCAGCTTGCCGGGCGGCAAAGGCGGCAAAGGCGGCGCTCGGTCGATGCAGGGCCTGGCGGGCCCTTCCTTGGCAGGCCCTTCGCTTGGCGCTTAGCGTCTGTAAAACCCACGACCCACGCCGCGCCGCGGCCCTGCAGCCCCAGCCACGCCTCAAGACAACCCCACGCCTCTGGCTTGCCTGGCGCGCCACTTGCCGTACTCACGTCCGCCGCCACCGCCGACGGCGCCGCCGCGCGGCGGACGCGCCAACCAGCGTCGCGGCGGTAATTGCCACGGATCGTGTCAAAAGTCCGTTTTGCCCTCACGCGCACGTTTTTTTCTTGTTTTTGTTTGTTTGCACCGAGTGTTTTAGGTGTGTATCTGGGTCACGAGGAGATGAAAACAGGGAACGGCGCGACTCGACGAAGTATTCCAGGTGCACGTCAAGGACATGCAGGCATTGGCAGTGGAGTGACGACGACGCGGCACGACGCGGTGTTCCAGGACGCGCAGGACGCCACCGCGGCGGCGCTGCGGCAGGCCGAGGCCCGCAGGCGGGCTCTGGCGCGGCGGAAGGCCCAGCTGCAGCAGGGGCGGACCAACAGGGGGAGGCCCAGCACGCCACCGCCCGTCCCCGGGAGGCAGCACCTCGACGTCCAGACCGACCGCTACCTGGAGGAGGTGTTTACGCTTGCGATCGTTTATTTCATTTACTGTCTTTTTTGAAAATTGTCTAATTTTTTGTCTTGGTTCATGCAGATCTTCGACAAGCCGCTGGAGGCCGAGGTGTGCTGCCAAACGGACCTGTTCGCCGAGCGCCCCGTCACCCCGCAGTTCGTGCCCGCCGCCGTGGGGAAGGACGCGGAGACCCAGATCGAGCCCGGCGAGGTGAGCCGCAGACGACCGAGTCCGCCCAGCCGCCGCACGTTTTGTTTGCAATTCGCTCCTCTTTCCAGCTGTTCGACTTTGACGACGAGGTGACGCCGGTGCTGGAGGTGCTGGTGGGCCGCACCGTGGAGCAGGCGCTGGTGGAGGTGCTGGAGGAGGAGGAGACGGCCGCCACGCACAAGCACCGCGCGCGCCTCGAGGAGGCCCGGCTGCAGCAGCTGGAGGAGCAGGCCCGGCTGCAGGACATGGAGCGCAGGCTGCAGCTGGAGAAGGTCAGGCCTCCGCAGTGACTTTATTGACGCTGGACGAACGCGTTTTCTTTTAAAGTAAAAGCACGACTTTTGACCTGCAGGAGCGGCGCGTGGCGGAGTACTCGTCGGCCCGGCGTGCCCACCAGGAGCTGGAGGAGCGCATCGCGGCGGCCGCCCTGTCCAGCGACTACCTGCAGCAGCTGCTGCCCTCCGTGCTGGAGAGCCTGCACCACATCAGCGACCCGGTGCAGCAAGGCAAGGAATCTGAATCTGAAGTCCCGGCTGGAACGTAGCCGGCTCGATATTCAATGTCTCGACTGACTGCGGCGTTTGGTTTGGACAGACGTCGGGGACGACTTCATGCCCTGGCTGATGACGGAGGTGCAGGAGGAGATGCAGAAGATGATCACGAGTAAAGACATCATTTCCGGTAAGGGTAGCACCCCGTTCACCCCCGACAAACAAAGAAGGGCAACATGATGACCGTTCTTGTCTTCCGCAGACATCGTCCGCGACGTCCTGGAGACCAGGGCAGAACTGAAGCGCGCCACGGCCGACTCTCCGAGCGACGGCGTTGCCCGTCCGAGCCCCGAGGCCACCGTCGCCAGAGGTGCGGCCGGACTCGACCTGCGTGCAAACGGCTGCACTTTTCCGCCGCACCCAAGTTGACGTGGCGGTCTCGGTTTTGCAGTGGTGGGCGAGTCCGGGGACGCGGGCGCCGCGCCCATCGAGGACGCGTCGCCGCGCTGACGCCCGCCTCCTGCCCGCGTCTGTCTGGCCGTGCCGGGGCCGGGCACGGCCGGGCAGCCCTAGGCAGTCTGCCCCGGCTGGGCTCCACCGCCGCGCCCGCTCGGCTCGTCCGCGGGTGAGTGCCATATCATAAAGGCGTGGAAGATGTCATCGCGGAGGGGAGGGGGAGGGGGAGGGTGGCGGCACCGAGACGAAAGTCATACCACCCCTCGCTCGGTGCAGGCGGTGCAGGCGGTGCGGATAGGGGGTGGTGTTGCACCGGCTGAGCGGGCAAGCCCGGCAAGCCGCAAATCGGACACAAACATCGCCAGTGGAAAGCCTGCTTTTAGGCGCGGCACGCGCGCCAACTCGCAAGCCAGCTCGCAAACTGTTTCTACTTTGTCGATCCAGAAAGGAACCCTGAGTGGGGGTCGGTCTTCATTGAACCGGGTGTGCTCCTATAGTCGCAGAGATTCGTGAAGTCGTAACTCAACCGACACGGCAGAGAATCCAAAATGAAATTTCGGAAACCGAAAGTGGGTGAGCCCTGCCTGCTGGCCCGCTGGTCGAGGTCGGGTGCGGCCTGCTTCGGTCCCCGCCGGTCCCCGCGCCGCCCAGCCTGGAGGCCTGGAGGCGTGGAGGATCGCGCAGCCGGTGCAGCCGGTGCGGCAGGCTGCAGCAGGATCTGCAGGGTGCGGCCATGGTGCGGCACTAGCGGCACTGGCTGCCCGCGAGCTGCGTCCGCGCCGAGGCCGAGACCCCGCGTAAGCCGATCGGCGGCGCACCCCCGGCGAGGACGCCGCCGCGGACGCCGCCCCGAGGGTGTGGCGGGTGCGTCGCGGCCGTGTCAGGTGCATCCGTTCCCGCATATTACAGACGCTTTATATATATCGTTATGATTGGGATGGCCGGCTCTCTCGCCTCGCGTTGGCCTACATATCCGCGGACCCTCCCCCATTCGCCACAACGTGCTTGGTCCACTGCGTGATGAGGCGGCTTGTTCTCTTGCCGTAGTATTCCTGGCACTGCTAGCAGTGGCCTCGCGGTGCGCGGTCGTTTTCAATCTCAAAAATGAAATCAATATTCGAAAAATTTCAACCGGGAACTGATCAACCCAGAAAGCGAGAGCAAACGTCAGCAAGCGGAACTTGCTTCTAACCTCGTAATTATGCACGGAAAGTTACACTTTATTAAAGTGCCATCAGCGGCGCATTAATTCCCGTTTCCGCTGATGTTACTAATAAAGCTGCAGCGAGCCCTTCGTTATAAATGGCCGTCGTCGCCCTGCGCCACCTCGCTTCTCCCTCCCGCATCCATATACAGCGCGACTTATGGCCGTCCGCGCAATTTGGAAAGATGCCATCTATTCTGTTCATTACCGCCACTATTGTTTGACAGTTTTGCCTTATGGTTTCCGTGACTGCTCGCCCCGCTCGTCCGGCTCGCCCCGCCACAGTGACCTGGTCAGCTCGCGCCCTACTTGCCGAGTCCGCCGCCGGCCGCGAAAGCCGCCAACGCAGTGCAGTGCAGTATGCAGGCCGCGCTAGCGGAGCTCCACCTGTGTTTTCTTTCTGCTTCTACTTCTTTTTGTTTTCGCGGTCGACGTGGCCGATTGTATCGGGTTGCACCCTCCCGCAAAGAAAAGGGGGGGGGGAGGGGGCGTAAATCCAGTCAGGCTAAAACTCTTATTAATGATGTTATCGACCAACGTGTCGTCGAGGTAATCCAACCGGTAAATGTTTGCACGGCGCACTCAGTTGCCTCCCCCAGCAGACCGATTCCGAGAGTCCTTTTCGTCGCTCTGTCTCTCTCGCATTCATGAGGCGTTCCTATGGGTGCGAGAGAGGCAGGGCGACGAAAACGACTCTCGGAATCAGACTGCAGTGTACCCTTCGGCCAAGCTCAGTGCCCCCTCCCCCAACATCGGGGCAGCCGCAGGACGCTGAGTTCCTTGTTTACTTTTTTCATGGGTGCTGCGCCGGAGGAAAGCTCACTGTGACTGCGTTTTCAAACGACAGAATTGCGAATGCGAAAAGTCTACTTTAAAATAGTGCAAATTCACTGTTTGCATTTCGCCCCCAAAAAGTAACGTGAGCATCGAGACAGGGGACAATTAACCCCGATGCCGACTGCGGCAGTGCACGACGCGGCACGCGGCAGGGCACGCCGCACGCGACCCAGTTCTGCGATGCACGACCTGTCCGGCCGGCCCGGCTCGGGGCAGCGCCGGCAGCGGGTAGTCGGGGTAGTCGCACCCGGTTGACCCGGACGCAACGAGGCAGCCCACGCTGTCCAGGCCGTCCAGGCTGACAGACCCACCCGACCCAACGGGGCCAAGCCAAAGTCAAAAGGGACAGCCTTCACCTGCACGAGTAGATGGTGTGGTGGGGGGCGGCCAGTGGGGCGTCTGCGGAAAACAGTTTAGCTCCTCGGGATGTTGTGGTCAGTGGTCGCGTGCCGGACATTTGACGTCGTGATGGTGTTGTCGAGGCGCACGTGCACGCCACGCCACGCGCGTGACATCGAGGCGCCGCCCCTCCGCCCCGCCCCGCCCCGCCCCGCCACGCCCCGCCCGGCTCATGCCTGAGTTGGCAAAGGGCGTGCGCGCTTGTTGAGCATGCGAGAGGGCAGCAAGCAGAGACAGAGATAGAAAAGGACAAACAAGAATATCAATAACAAAAGCGGGACGCGGCGCGGCGAGGGTAACATCGGCACTGACAGCAGCTTCATCTTCAATGACAGCATGACAGCGCACCGCGCCGGACCCGCCGCCACCCCACCCCGCCCCTCCGCACCCACCCCTGCCCCGCCGCCACCCCTCGCACCACTCAATCCGCTCCCCATTGTAGTGGTGGATTCGGTTGAGCGCGAAGTAAATTGAGATTAAATTATTGGAACCCCCTCCAGCGCCGCTTGGCCGCTTTGCGCGGTTTTGCGTGCGGCGTATGCAGAGAGGCGCGGCTCACCACCACGTCCCTGCACTGGCACTGCCCTCCCTCCGGTGACCTGGCCGACCTGGCCAGCAGCGAGCGCGCAGGTGGTGCCAGACCGCCTTCGCCAGCGTGACCCTCGTGTTCCTGTCCAAGTCTTTTCGCTTTAAAGACTGACTTCAGCATCTGGACCCTGCGTCCAAGTCCCTCCAATGTTCGGGCACCTTTGCACGACGACGGCAAGGAACCGGGGGCCTTGACGTCGGCGTCAAGCGAGGCCAACGAGGGTGGCTGGGTGGCGGATGCGATTTGGCCCAGTGGTTAGGGTGTGGGTCCGTCGCGCTGGCTCTCTCGCACCACCGCGGATCCCCGCATGAGTGCGAGAGAGCGAGACAGAGCGGCGGGAGGACGGTTCGGATCCAGCCTGGCCAGTGGGGGAGATCCCCTTGGCTACGCGGCTATCTTTTGCATCTCGTGTAGGTGGGTAATGGCGGCACGTGCGGCTGCAGTGCAGGGTGTGGCAGTGCAGCGGACGGCCGCAGTCTTACTTTTGGCGCGAGTTGACAGAACCAGGTGCCGAGGGAGCGATCACGATGGGGAAGGACCAGAGCACACCTTGAACTGGCGACAGCTCCGAGTCGGAAAACGCGATTCAGCGTGTGTTAGTGTGCTGCACGTGCCTGCGCGTTTGTGCGTGTGTGTGTGTGTGTGGGGGGGGGGGGGTGCGAATTGGCCGCACGTATGACGCATTATTTCTGCATTTGGCGGTAACGAAGGAGGCGGTCCGGTCCGGTCGGGGTCGCTGCTACACTACAAAAGGCACGGGCCCTCCCTCCGCATCGCCGGCACCGCCCCGCCCGCAACGACGCTATCGCCGATCAGCGCGGATACAAAAAATATGTTTCGAGTCATTTCAGTATCGATGCGAGTACACTGCGAGGAGAAGTTGCTCAGGACGGACGGAACGGCTGGGGTGGTGGGTGGTGGTGCATATTCTGGTTCCAAAATCCGCTGTCGATCCGCTGTGGCGACGTCGGACTAGCCCTGCTCTTGTCATTATAAAAACCATTCGGGCGCGCGCGATTTTAATTCATTATTGTCCCCTGGCTGGCGGGGCGGCAGGGCGAGGCGGCGGGTACGAAAAATCCTATTACGGCACGCAGACTTAAAACTCTAGCACCCCTTTCGTTCCGAGCCTTGCGAGCCGCGGCTGAGTGACATAAACCGTATTCCCCCATACAACCCGCAGACAGATCCAGTGTAACGTACCCCACCTTACCGCACCACCACACCCCTCCGCTTCCACACCCCCCTCGTACACTGGTTTAGAATCGCCCGCCTCCCCCTCCCCTCGAGTCGCTCGCGGCAGGTGCACGACGGGAGGGACCAGGCCGACCAGGGACTCTACGGTGCGCATGGTCGACACGACAAGTGCCCCGGGCTGCATCGCTGCATCCAACTTCTGACACCTTTCTGACGCAAATCTCCCCACCCGTTCTGTTGCAGGAGAGAACTGTGATATTCCGTCCCCGAGAACCACTGCTACCGTCCACTCGGCGCCTGTCTTCGTACTCCGCTTTGGCATGTGCAACGTAGAAACGAAAAATAAACAAAGTTTTTCCGTGTACTGTTCCTTGGATTGGATTGGAAAGCGGAAAAAAACCTGTGTACTATATATAACCACGAGAATCTAACGCATGTGTTGTTTAAATTGACGTTATCTTGTTGAGAGTTACTATGTAACCTATTTTTAGTGTTTGTTTATATTTTATGCCTTAACATATAGATTATTTATACGCTGTATCCGTCCATTTTCGTATTGCAGCTTTGGGGGTCAAAATATCGGGTTAACTTTATCCACCAGGAACCAATATTAATTACTTGATACATTCTATTATATTAATAAACTGTGCTTCGATCACGAGGAATCATTTTGTCTGTTCGTTACCTGCGACATAGTCACGCTGCCGCGCGTGCCTTGTGCAAGCACACGCGCCGCCACCTGCACGCAAACACAGCTAATCGTGCGCGCGCCGAGCAGGCGGCGGCCACGCGCCTGGCACGCGTCGGGCACGCGCCGCCGAAAGGGGGTCTCCAGGGCGACAAATTTCTTTCCGGCGCCAGCATGCCTACGCAATTCCAAAACAAAACGGCGCCACGCTGCCTGGGCGCAGCGAGGGCACTGGCAGTCGAATTGGCAGTGATTTTAATCGTTATTCAATCTTGATGATGGCGATCGCTAATCTCGTCGCCACCCTCATCCCCTTGCTGCAACACACCCAGCCGGGCACCCTCACGGCACGGCATGGCACGCTGGCAAGCCGAGCGGAAGGACACGGGCGTGTCGAATCGGGTGCCGAGTGATTCGGCACGCGGTTTGGCTAGCCGAGCTGGCCGCGGTGACGCCGGATTTGGGACACGGGGAGGATATGGACGCGCGGCCGCGCGGCCGGGAGTTGATGGGCAGGCAAGAAGAAAAGTATCACATTTTGATTTCAGGGCTGCCGCCGCCCGCCGGGTGTTTGGTCGCATTTCGCGCGCGTTGAGGTTTCCGTCAAGGCGGCGTCGATACTCCATGCCTGAGGATTCAGCGCAAAAAGTCACCTTGAGTACGGGGTATCGCCGCGGCCTGACGGCACCGGCGCGCCCTTTTTCAATGTTTTGAGACCCGCTTTCGGCCGCTCGGCTCGGCTGCACCACAAGTCCTTAATCTTCGGCCACCACAATCGGAGGGGTGGTTTGCAGAGGCCGGCGCGGTGCACGGGGTGGCGGACAAGGAGTGCCAGGTGCCCGGCGCTGCTGGCGGCGGCGCGGTCCAGGCCGAGAGCGAGCAGGGCGTGGAGCAGGGCGTGGAGGCCGCGGCAGCTGATACAAACAAGGGGGACGAGACGAGAAAGGCCGGCCTTCCTTGTGTGGCAGTGCCAGGCAGCCCCGCGGACTCGGGACGCCTCTCAGGCGGGGTGCACCGCCCCGCACCGCCCCGCCGACATGGACTCACCCGGACAAAAGTAGCGACGTCTAGACGCCCCTGACTTTTCTATACAGCGCCCCGCCGCCCTCGCCGAGGCCCGCGGCGCGGAGTTGGGGAGGGGAGGGGGAGGGTCGGCGGGGAGGGTGGGTCCGGGAGGCCGGCGCTGGCCGGGGGATGTTTACGCACGTGGCTAAGAGAGCAGTTTATTGTAAGTGGTACTGTAGTGGTAGCAGCGAGAGCTCTTTGGCGTCGCTTTGGCGGGGTGGGGCCGCCTAGGACCGCCGAGCCGAGCCACGCAGCCATGCCCCGTTGCTTTATCAAGTGACATCTAATGCAGCCTTTGATTCGCACATCAAGCAGCTGCAGCCTTGCACTTGCAGTGTGGCGGGGCGGTGTTGGGCGCAGCACGGCAACGTAGACGTGTCGCAGACCGGGGTGCAGAGGGAAGGACACGTTTCGACCGAACTTCGTTGGAGGGTGTTGAGCTACAACTCAACACCTTACAACGAACATTTCGGTGTCTAAACTTGAATTTAGCTGAAAATAACAACGAGAGGCAGCGGGAAATTTGCTCTAAGCAACACAGTGCTGAACGTTGAAGGCTTTTGGTGCTGGGCGAGGAAAGCGCGACGCACGCACCTGGAGGGGGCGCTGAGCTGCGCTGAGCCCGGACCCAGGCTGGCCAGAATGACCACTTGTGGAGGCTGCTTGCCTGCTTGTCCGCCAGCCCCGCGCCCCGCCCGCGTCCTTCATTAGCCAGGCGTCCCCGCCCCGCCCCGCGCGGAGAGCCGCCAAGAACGCCCCGCGCACATACTACAATGACATATAAATTGAAGGCATATTTTAATATAGGCGCAATTTAGGAGCCATTGAAAGGACGGGCCGCCTTCCCCGACACACAACAAACCGACGAGTAATAACGCACTGGCCGAGGGGAGGGCAGGGGAGAGGGCGATACACCCCGAACCCCCACCCCTCCCCTCTCCTGCAACATCCCCTGCGCGATTCGTTCCACTTCTTTTAACTTTTAAGTATTGAAACGGGCCATCTCCACCACCCCTTCCCTTGCGTTATAACCTGCTCTACTTTCGCTTCCTTTTTTCAGATGATAAAAATAATAAAATAGAAAAAAGTCCCTATTTCTTCTGTTAGCTGCCTCTTTGGTGCTAGAAAATCTGCATGATTTTTCTTGCAGCTTTATGGAGAAAAAGGGAAGGGCGTTAGTGTTTCGGTTGTGGTTATTTCACCCCAACCCTTACCGCGTACATTCGACCGCGAACTGTTCGTGCGGCGCCCCGTCCGCCCCCGGGGAATGCACTTGCTTCCGGCCAAAGTCGTGGGGTTCAAGGCGCCGCGGTCAATTGCAAAAGAAAGGGAGCCGCCCTGCCGCGCGGCGGGGAGCAGGGCAAGCAGGGCAAGCAGGGGGGTGCAAGGTGGAATGAAATATCATATGTTTGTGGGTCCGGTCGGCGCGGGGCGGCGCGGGGCGGGGCGCTGCAACTCGATCCACCCTCCCTCCCTCCCCAGCGCACCGCCGCACCCTCCACCCTCTCTAAATGCAGTCGAATGGGCCATCCCGGCTCTGCAACACAATCATAATGAGTTGTGAATGTGGCTGTGTTGTGATTGGATGTCCCCGGCGACGGCGAACCACGGCGAACAGACGAATGGAGCCGCGGCGGGCAGGCAGACAGACCGGCGAGCGGACGGTCGCGGGGTGCTGCCGGTCCAGGACCGCCAGGACGGAGAGCACGTGGTGGCTGCTCTTCACTTGCTCGCGGTTCGCCGTCGGGGAGGGTTGTCGCGGAGTGTCACCGAGGTCGCCGACGTCGCCGTCCCTCTGCCGGCCTGGCCCGATAGCCATGACGGTAGGCCTGTGGGGCGCGGACTCTATTCGTGCTGCCGTTGCGTTCCCCGACGTCGCCATGTTCCCCATCGTGCCGCACCACCACCTGTCCGCGGCGCCCAGGACGCCGCCGTCGTCATCGCGGGGGAGTAGCAGCAGCAGCAGCGCCAGCCCGCCGTCGCCGCCAGTGTCGCCCGTGCTGTCCTCCGCGGCCATGGTAGGCGGTGGCTTCTTCCGCCTCGACGTCGCCACGCCCCCGCCGTCGACGCGCGCCACCTCCACGCCCGGCCCCGCGCCCCCGTCGCCACGCCACCGACTCTCGCCGCCACCCCCAAACGGCCCCGGGGTCGTGGCCGCGCAGGACATTCCCTTGCACGCCGTGTCCAGGGCGTTCCCTCCAGCGGAGCTGTTGGAGCTGGAAAGCCAGGTGAGTCATCCCGCCGATACAAAGTGGCAGTGCGGGCGGCAGTGCAGCCCTGCCGTCGTGTGCACAGCTAATAGACGTCCTCGCCCACAGACCGCCAACGGCGACGACGTGCTCCAGCTGCGGCTGTGTGCCGACGGCTACCTGGACGCCGACGTGGAGGCCACGCCCCGCTGGGTGCGGCGGCTGCGGCTGGCGGACGACTGCCACAGCGCCAACGTGCAGCTGCAGGCGGAGGCCGCGGGCCGGTCCTCCCCGCCCACGCGCTGCAGGGTCCGCGCCGTGCGGCCGCTGTCGCGGGGCCAGAGTGTGCAGCTGTGGTTCGCCGACGACCTGCTGCCCTGCCTGCGGCTGCCCTTCCTCGCGCCGCACAACATCCAGGGTGAGTCAGTGGCCACCGGGCATCAAGCGGCATCAAGGTGGCAACCCTCCTGTTTCTTGAGCTGACCTTTCGCGTCCGTTGCAGGCGAGAAGCGTTACGTGTGCCACCACTGCGGCCGCTCCTTCGAGTTCCCCAACCCGCTCAAGCTGCACCTGGCGCTGGACTGCGGCCGCGAGGACGTGTCGGCGCTGTGGAGGCGGCTGCAGCGGCTTGGCGAGGAGGAGGACCGGGACGCGGCGCGCAAGGACACCTCGGCGTTCAGGCCCTACTGGACCACCGCCAGCAACACGTCGACCGACAGCGGCGTGGCGGGGCTGAGCCGGCTCAACGGCAGCCTCAACGGCAGCCTCAGCAGCGCCAACCTGAGCGGTAGTCTCAACGGCAGCCTCAACGGCAGCATCGGTGGCGGCCTCCACGGCCGGCACAACGGCCAGCCCGCGACCAGCCCGTCCCTGTTCGGCGCGTTCCACCACTGGGCGCTGTCAAGCCCCGCCTTCCGCGCAGGCCTCGGCCCCGCCCTCCCCGTGCCGGCCATCACCCCCGCGCACCACCACCCCTTGCTGCCGCGACCGCTGGCGCCGCCCGCCGAACCCCTCGGCCTCGGCGGCATCCTCGGCGCGCACGGCCTCGCCGCAAACCGGGTTCGCGACGCGGCCCCGCACCCGGGTCACCAAGGCCACCAGGCCAGCTACCACCAGCACGCGTCCGACATGGAGACCCTGGTCAGCAACCTGGGCCGCTCCAAGCAGGGCCACCTGTGCATCTACTGCGGCAAGGTATACTCTCGCAAGTACGGCCTCAAGATCCACATCCGAACGCACACCGGCTTCAAGCCCCTCAAGTGCAAGTACTGCCTACGACCGTTCGGCGACCCCAGCAACCTCAACAAGCACGTCCGCCTTCACGCCGAGGGCGACACTCCGTACAAGTAAGCCACCACCCTCGACGAGTCACAAATCGGACAAATCTCCCTTGGACCATGAACTAACTACCATTTCCGTTTTTCTCAGGTGTGATCTTTGCGGGAAGGTGCTGGTTCGCCGGCGGGACCTGGAGCGGCACGTCAAGAGCCGCCACCAGGACGGCGTCGAGGGGGACGGTGAGGGCCTGGGGGACTGGGACAACGACATGGACACGGACAACGACAACGAGCACGACGACGACGATGTGGAGGTCGACGTGGACGTGGGCGATGAGGAGGACCAGCTCCACTGCAACGGCAACTCGATGAGGAAGGAGCAGCGGCAGCAGCGCGTCGGCGTGGAGCGCGACATCCCCATCCCCACCGCCTAGGCCGTGCCACCGTGCCGTGGCCGAGCACGAGGCGCTGAATGGGCCTGGGCCGACTGAGCCCAGTCCCTCTCCACCAAGCTAAGACTGACTGACTGATACGATAGATTGATAAAGTTGTTGAGAGAGATAGATAAATATAATTATTTTCTTCTATGCCTGTCCTTTTGTGAATGTTATTAAAATTAAGATGCAAGCACCTGGTGAGTTGATGATGTGAATATCCTGTAAATTGAGGTGAATAAAAGTTTGTTCAAATAACTTCAACTTACAAATCATTACCACCTACTCCGACACAATACTTGCTAATTAATCTTACCAGTGGGAAATCTGTTCCCCGTACCCAATGTGAGAGGAAGGTAATGTTATGTCCAAGACATATCAGAATCAGGTGTCTCTTATAATAATAATAATAATAATAATCCAAATTTATTCAAGCTCAGTTCAAAAAGTTCATTGGTCTTTGGTAAAGGCATCCTCGGGCAGTGCTTTAGCTTCAAATTTGTTCACAAAAGAGATCAAAGCTTCCCTCACATACCAATGACTCTCTATCAAAAATCTAAAACATAAAAATAAAGCATGATTTCTCAATATTAAACATATGACAAGAAGCTACTTTTGTCCTACTAACCTTGTAGCCCATTCCTTGTTGAGAGTGGTCAGTTGAGTCATTATGCAGGCCATCTGTTCTTTCTCCGTATCACTGAGCAGTTGAGCATCTTGCACTAACCATGCTGCTACAGGAGCCTCCACAGGAGGGCGTCTAATTTTGAAAGAGGCCTGCAATGTAATAATTCAATTTCTTTTTAAGCACACCACCAATAAAAAAGGGCCCCAAACAAATGTCATAAAATAACTATCTAGTGTTTTATGAAAAAAAAAATAATTCAAAACTGGAAACTTACTTCTGCCTGCTCTGTTGTAGGATTTGATAAATGAAGCTGTTCATTAGTAATTTGCCATTCATTAGGAGCAGTGCAGCGTAAAACAAAAACACGTCTAAAACTTCTCATTTGGTCAGGTTCTGGTGGAAGAGATGGTTGCTCCCTAAATATGCCGGATACTGAAATTACAGCTGCAATATCCTGGGTAAAGAAATTACAAGCAAAGTTGTTTAAAATATTATTGAAACACAGCAGGTAAGGAGAAAAACAAAACTAACTCACATTGTAATGCACGAGATCAACTGAAAATGAATAAGGGTCATGCTCAGTTGGGGGTAGACAGCTGAATAACTCAAGAATTTCATCAGGTCCATGGTACATATTCTTCTCAACTTTTGAGTAATCAGATAACTTAGCCAAATTATGATTGTAAGTTGTATACCATGTCAATCTGAAACACAATTTTAAAGATACATAAACAAAATTGGAAAAAGAGAACAAATGAAAATTAGTGTTACTACAACATAACAAATACTTACGAGCAGCCATCAGAGGTGCTCTGCCCAGCTAAATGTACACAAGTTAGAGAAAAGAGAGCATTGTTGTGATATAAACCATCAAGACACCGTCGATCTTTCCAATCATAGCGATCAAAGAAATGTTTTAAAAATTGATCAACCATCTGATGCCCCTCCTTGGAACAGAGGAAATTTTTAACTCTAGGTACTGATATTGAACCAGGAAATAAAGAGGCTGAGTCCTGAAAGCAAAATTTTGAAATTAATTTTGCCTCCAAACCAATGCTTAAAACCAGCAACAACTCATACAAAATTACCCACCAGACTTTTTAGCTGAGGCATTAATAATTTCATTTTACTGGAAGTTAAGGAAGAAAATACATGATATTAAAAACATTTGAGTGCAAAAGGTGATGGAAAAACAATGTCAAAAATCACTAACTTGATATATTCTTCTGGTGTTCTGAAGTCAGCACAAAGAGGGTTTCCATCCAATATAAGCCTGGTGACTTGACCCAATTCTTTTAAGTCTTTCACATCTTTTTGATACAAAAGCTGGGGGGAAAAAAAACTGTTGAAGACCCACACTGTATTAAAGTTAAGAGAAGAGGGCAGACCGTAAAAGCCCAACAAACCTCATTGTGTGATAAGTCTAATGTTCGCAGATAAGATGCTTTAAACAGGACATCAATTTTTAGGATCCGAATTCCATTGTAGGAAAGACGTAGAGTATAAAAATTTATGGGGATATTTATGGCTGTGGTTAGCACATAATGCAACAAACTGGGTTGAGAAAGTGGACAGTACAAAGTGGAAGCCAAATCTGTGGAAAGAGCATGTAAGTCAAAAGGTCAATGTTACTTTCACGTGAAGTAAATAGAAGAGATGGAAAGGTGCATTTGGCCTACCTGGGTCATGCTCAAAGTTTGACAAATCGAGGCATCGATCAGATGAGTTGAACCTTTTTTCCAAAACTTTTCGAAGAATGCCTAACGCATTAAGTTTTAACCTGTTTACAGGTGCGCATTGAAGGAGAATTCGCAGAATATACTGTTAGAATGAAAACATCACAATCAACAATCAGTTTGAAATCAATGAGGACTTAAAAATGAACAACGATTTTCAGATTCACTGATGAATGAGTAGGATTTGATTGTACCTTTTGACCATCAATTTCAAAAATCAAATGATTATTACGGCATAGCCTGTCAATGGCTGATCCACAGTTCCGAGCGTAAAACACAGCAGCATCTCCTTCCTCTTGGTACTGCAATGCAAATCCTCAAAAAATGGTAGAACTCAAATTTAATTAACACATCAGAAAATGCGTACTAATGCCTCACTTACCATGACAGGTAAAAGTAAAGTAGGATCACTAAGTTCTAGAATGCGTTTTAATATCTTTTCCTTGTTGTCAGCAACAGGTCCTGAAATCTAAATAAGTAAACATTTGAGACTTTGCAAAGTTCTTTTAAAAAACTGAAAGGATCTCAGAACTTACAATGAATTTATGCCAGTGATCATTATCATGAAGAATTCGAAAAGCACCATGAGGGAACAGCTTGTTACGAGTGTTTGTTGGTTCTAAGAGGATACTTTGAGTAGGCTGCTCTTTGGCAACAGGATATTCCTTTCCCATGCCTATTTCAGTGCTGAAAACTGGTGTGGTCTCTTCTGGAACTTGAAAATCTGTCTTGGATAAAACATCAAATGTAGGTATTTGAGGCTGCGTACTAGTAGGGAGTAAATTAACTGTGCTCCCTCCACTAGTATCAGTGTTGTATCTATGATTTCCAGTTGCCTGGCTTAATGATGGCAAGGTATTCACTCCCTGACTAGCAGTACTTGAGTCACTTCCAAAAGAGGCTTTTTCCAAAGAAGCTGGACTTTGGTCCTTTTTGGACCTTTTACCACGGATATAAGAATCTGGCAGTGTAATTTTGCTCGTCGTCTTCACAACAGTTGTGGGAGGTGGATTATTAGTTATAAAGGCACCAGAGGGTGGAGGTATGCTGGCTGCAAGTAAGGCTCTTGCAGTATCAAAGTTATTTCCGAATGCTGCTAAAGTTGAGTTGATGTCTGCTTGAGGCGTGTATGGATTGCCTGCTGTTTGCATCGCTTGATTAAGCATTGCTGGTGACCAGTAGCCAGACATTTTCCCTTCAGCTATAGGGTGTGTGGTTAATCATAAACAGACAGAGAGAGAGGTTTAATTAACATATAATTAGTCATAATAATACTTGAAAAATAATGAAAAAACAAAAAATTACCTTTTTAACCTGAAGGCTGGCTAGATAAATGAAAAAATAAGAGAGAGGTAAAGTTGACGGAAAGTATCAACAGAACAGTACGAGTGTCATGGTTTTACAATGAAAACTTTCGCATTATCACATTAATGTTCATCATAACAGAAACTTTTAGGTTAGTTCTCTGTGTCTGTAGGTAAATAAACAAGTTAGCCAACAGTGTTAAATAAAAATTAGGTGATTTTCTAAAAATTTTGGCAATGGATTTGATTTTAAATAAAGATAAAACCTAATTTTAAAAATAAGCAGGATCTTACCTATGAATAAAAAAATATTTCATGTTCAATGCAGAAAAATCAATATTGATTAGTTTGATTACTGTTCGTTTGTCATTCTGGACGCGGGTCGCGGCAAAACAAAAGCTATTTCTGCTGGTTTGATGGGTTAGCTACTTTTTCATGCCCGATTGTGCTCTGAACTATTCAGCTTACTGTAATTCCTCAAAACCACTTGTTATTTGTAATTTTCTGTTATTTACTCACTTTGACCAATTGATTGATCTTGTCATATCCTGTTTTAGGTGCTGACAATGGAGAAAATTAACAAGTTGGAGGCACCAGCTTCTTTCCCATTTCCATTTACACCTTACCCCATACAGCATGATTTCATGTCATCCTTGTATGAAGTTTTAGAGGAAGGCAAACTCGGCATTTTCGAAAGCCCCACTGGTACTGTAGGTATTTTATTCAATGAACTATGATGTCAAGTCTGTTATGCCTGCCGTCTCCTCTCATCCTCTCTCATATCTTCTTCCCGTTTCTGTTTGCAGGGCAAATCGCTAAGCTTAATTTGTGGGGCGTTGACTTGGCTGAGTGATCATGAGAAAAGTTTCCGTGATCACTTAGAGTCTCTTTTAAAAAGCTCTGATGAAGTTACTTCTAAGGGTGATTCAAACAACAGCGATCCCTTTGACTGGCTGAATCAACAAGCAGAAGAAGTGGCTTCTCGACAAAAAAGAGCAGAGACTAAATTGAAGTTGGATTTGTTGGACAAATACCAAACGAAGTTGTCGAAGATGAAACAAGCGAGCAAACAAAGAGTGAGTTGCGGGTTTGGCAAGAAAATGTAATGATCTGCTGATTCTTACAATCTTTGTTTCTTTCATTCAGAAAACTAAGGGAATGCAAGAGAAACTGCCAACAGATTTTCAGCGATATCCAGATGACCCAAAGAGAGATAATGCTGTGAAAATTGAGAAAGATGATGAAGATGAGCTCTTGCTGGAAGAGTTTAATGCCTCAGCATGTGAGGATAATTCAGATGATGAGATATCTCAAGAAGAAAAGCCAGAAACTACTAAAGTATGCATTTACCAATCATGATTTAATCTTGCATATGAGATATATTGATAACGGTTTTGCTTCAGATATTCTTTTGCAGTCGAACGCATTCCCAGCTTGGCCAATTCATTGGCGAAGTTCAAAGGAGCTCATTTGGAAATGACATCCGTGTTGTGCCCTTGGCCTCCAGGCAAAATAGCTGTATAAATGAGCATGTCAGCAAATTAAAAAGCTTATCTCTTATAAATGAAAAGTGAGTTGGGGTATACTAATGGCACATGATTTATGTGAATTTTTCCTGAACTTTTTTCAAATCCTTGTTTCTGTCTCAAAGATGCCTGGATCTTCAGAGAAAAAATCACAAAACAACTGCTGTGTCAAGTGAAGGCAAAACTACAAAGAAATCTCGTAAATCTGGAGGTTCATCTAGTTGCCCTGCTATGAATCGAAACAAAATCCAAATGTTATCAGAAGATGTTTTGAGTGAAGTTCAAGACATTGAGCAAATTGTGCGGTCAGGGAGGAAAAGTGAGGCATGCCCTTATTATGCGACCAGGGCAGCAGTTGGTGACGCCCAGGTAGATTTTATAAATTATACTGCTCCTTATTTCTGATCAGTTGGATGGAGAAAAAGAGCACCTAACTTTTTGACTTTTCAGGTAGTAGTTGTCCCTTATAACACTATACTTCACAAAGGCACAAGAGAAGCTTGTGGTATTCAGCTGAAAAACAATATAGTTGTAATTGATGAAGCACACAATCTTCTTGATGCCATAGGGAACATCCATAGTGCACAAGTCAATGGATACCAGGTAGAGATAATTTTAACCAGCCAAACGTTTAAACCTTGTTTGTGGATGATCTTTAATGAGGAACTTTCTGATTCCAGTTGTGTCATGCTCATAGTCAACTAGTTCAATACAGGGATCGCTACCAGAATCGCTTTAGCCCCAAAACACTTCTTCATCTTGGTCAAGTAATATTTGTTGTTGCCAAACTGATAAAAATTATTGGTAAATATGCTAAAATATATTTATAACACTAGGAACATATTTTTAAGTACATCACATAGACAAGTGTGAACAACCTTTTTTTTCCAGGTGGAAAAGCGGGTGGCAATCCAGATAGTGCTATTGAAAGAGTTCTAGAAAATAAAATTTTTACCCTGCCAGATTTTGTGTTATCTGCAGAAGTTGACAATCTCAACCTGTTTAAGCTCTTAGAGTTTTGCCAGTCTAGCAAAATATCCCAAAAAGTAATTTGAAAAAAAAAAAAAAAAATCTGCTTATTATTACAGCTGCTTGTTACATTTATATGATATTGTTTTTCTTCAGTTGCACAGCTTCAGTGCTCTTTACCATACAGTTGTGAACATCTCTAAACCGGTTGTGAAAAATCAAGGAATTAGAGCTTTTCTTAAAGAAATGGAAACCAAAAATAATAAAGGTTCTGAGCCTAAGCAACCAGGTAACTTATCTTTTTGTTCTTGTTTTTGCCTTTTTAGAAGCCTTGTTTTTATTTTAAGAAATAAAATTATTTCAGTTGAACAAGAGAAAACAGTGACCCCTGCGAGTGCCCCTGAGGGTGGTAATAATCCATTCCTGTCAGTCATGGCTTTTATGGAAACCCTTACAAATGGCTGTGAGGATGGCCGCATACTTCTCAAAAGGGGCCTCACTGTTGGTAAAGGTGTACTTAAATTTCTCCTCCTCAACCCAGCAGCCCACTTCCGTGACATTGTTCTTCAAGCACGGTTTGTTAACTATGGAATTGTGTCACCATGATCATCTAAGGCACTTGGAATTAATCAATTTGAGAGATTTTTCCCTTTTCATTCCTAGATCTGTTATCGTAGCAGGAGGAACTATGCAACCTATATCTGAATTCCAAGACCAGTTATTTCTGTCTGCTGGCGGAAAGCCTGACCGCATTTCTGTGTTTTCTTGTGGCCACATCATTCCACCAGAGAACATCTTGCCCATTGCCTTAGGATCAGGCCCTACTGGAAAGCCCTTTGAATTCTCATACAGCCAGAGAGATTCCATACCTATGGTAATACTTTATGTCCCTCTTATTTATTTCCCATGATTGCCAGCACAACTAAGATTAACATTTTAAAAAATCAACACAGATCACTGAGTTGGGTCGATTGCTTACAAATATTTGCAACATAGTTCCTGCTGGTATTGTTTGCTTTTTCCCTTCATATGATTATGAGAAACGTGTAATTGAACAATTTGAAAAGTCAGGAGTTATAAAGCAAATTGAATGCAAGAAGAAGGTAACAACTTTAAAAACAATTTAAATCTTGGTTGTAATTTTAACTCAACATGTGAATGTGTCTTATTATATTAGTTATTGATCTGATCCAGATATTTCGGGAGCCAAAGCTTTCAAGTGAAGTGGAAGAAGTTTTATCAGCTTACTCAGCTTGTATTCGACGAACAAAGGTTTCCTCTGGAGAGTCCAAATTATCTGGAGCAATTTTGTTCAGTGTGATAGGTATAGCTGTACTTACTGCTAGCATGACTAGTTCACTTACTAGTGGATAATTTTTAATTATTATGTATGAACTTTCTTAGGAGGGAAGTTGAGTGAAGGTCTTAACTTCAGTGATGATTTAGGCCGGTGTGTAGTTGTTGTGGGACTCCCATTTCCCAACATTAAATCTGTAGAGCTACAGGAACAAATGAAATATTTAGATAACACTGTGGTAAGCAAACTTCCTTTACTTTTTTAAAATGTGGATTACTTGTGAAGTTGCTTAATTTTCTGCATTGTTCTTTTCATCCATAGGGAGCTGGTGGTGGGCAAAGACATTATGAAAATTTGTGCATGAAGGCTGTCAATCAGTCAATTGGACGAGCAGTCCGTCACAAGGATGATTATGCCTCAGTTGTCCTTTTAGACCAGAGATACTTGCAGCAGAACCGGCAGAAATCACTACCACAATGGATTCTAAGATCTCTGGAATCTCATGAAAACTTTGGTTCAGCATTTGGGTCATTAAGAAAGGTAGCTATGATATTTAGTCAGATTTGTTGGAAGAGTTTTTGGTGAGACTAGCATTAACTTTTCTGCCTCAGTTCTTCCAGGAGAGGCGGTCATCACAGCAGTCACAACAGTAGTTGAAGATTGATTATTGCATCAATTTGTATGATAATTTTAACAGACTGTAAAATAGTAGGGTTTTAAAATATTTATTGTTAAGTAACAAAATGTAGAGTATTTATCAATAAGATTTGTATTGTACACAATAAGTATAGTAAAATAAATCCATTTCATTAAAATTACAGCCTCATAAAATCACAATTATTCAGTCCTCCTATTTTGACTTTTTCATGGCCTCAAGGTACATGCCAAGACCCTTCTGAATGTTGGGCTGAACAACCAAATCCATAAATGCCTTCAAATCATCAATGGCATTCTCCTCCATGTATTTGATTCCCTCTTGACGGATGCTCTCCTTTGTCATCCTCCTTGCCAAAGCTGAAAGAGATGAAAGCATGATACACATTTTCAGATAGCTGCAAGATTATTTGAGAAGTGGACATATACTCACGAGGGATCTTGGCAAATTGAGCAATAAACTTCTGCGCCTCTGCGATAGCTTCTTCTTTATTGGAAACCATTTTGTCAATAAGACCAATGTTCAAAGCCTCTTGAGTGGAGAACATTTTGCCAGCAGTCAAAGCCATCTCAGCCTGTCTACGTCCAACAGCATCTTTCATGCAGATCATAAACCTAAAAACAAAAAGCAAAGCAAAAATAAGTTTAAATGAACTGAATTATAAAGCAGAGCACTTATATAATGTCGGTATTTACCATTGAGGTGCAACAATTCCAAGCTGAGTTTCATTTAGTCCAATTGTAAATTTGGGACCAACCATTACTCTGTACTCACAAGAGAGTGCCAACAGACACCCTCCAGCGGGGGCATGACCCTAAAAAAAAGGGATAAAATTAATACAGTGTGTAAAATCTTTCAATGGACTTATTACACCAAGTACTTTGTCTCACATTAATTGCTGCAACTGTGGGGATGGAGGTTCGGTACAGTGATAACCATGTGTTTTGAAGAGTTGTCCAAAACAATGAAAGATTTTGCTTTTTGGGTTCGTACATTTCTAATATATCAAGACCTGCACTGAACACTGAGTTTGAGGACTGAAACAAAACCAATAAGAGTTAGAATGGAACAATTCAAGAACAAACTTCAAGAATAAAAATATGACAATACCGAAGTAAGAATAATCCCCCGAGTTTTGTTAGCTTCTAAATCTTTGATTGCTACTCCCAACTCTTCCAGAAGACCAGTATTTAGGCTGTTCACAGGTGGCCGATCCAATGTAACAGTTGCGACTCCTTAAAAATGCAAACAATGTCAGTTACACAAGCTTTTATGGTGAGTAATCTCAGACAACCGATTTCAGAACTAAGACCTTACCAGCTTTATCAACATCTACAGTGACCAGTTTCGGAGGAGCAGGTTTGGATTGAGAGTACAATCGAAGAAAATTTGGTGTGCATCTCAAGCTGGAGGTTTTTTGAGCGAAAGCTCTCAGATTACGACACACAACAGCCATTTTACACGATTCCTGCAAAACGGAAGCAAAAAAAGGGAAAACGTAATCCCATAAGTGAGAGTGAATAAGTATCTGTCAACAACTAATTGACATTTTGGGGACTAAATTATGCAGCCATGAAATACACAATGTTTACATACCTCACTTGGTTCAAAAAGAAGTGGTCACGATGACACGGGAGCACAAAAGATCGCAGTTCAACCAGCTTGCCAGCTTCACAAAATCTGTAAGATAACTAAGCAAGTGCAAATTATCCGGCTCCGGTGGTTCAGAGTCCAGTGTCTGTCTGTCTATCTGTCTGTCACCTGCTCGCCGACCAACTTTTGTAGGACAGTTATACCGATATGAAGAATTAAGCAGCAGCTTTTGTCCGCGTTCCCGAAAAAATACCCCAAAAAAGTCGTTTACTAGATTTGTAAAATGGGCTGTCGTAAAGGAAATTATTTAAGTATTTTGTCAATCAAAGGAAAAGGGAGGTGCGAGCAGTGAAATGAGGATATTATGATCGAAACTTGAATCAGTGGCAGTTCAGTTTCTCACAGACCGCGGTATGCGGTGCATGGAAGTAATTTCAGTCTGAGCCTGCGCTGCTCTCTGTCGGCCACCAGGAAAAACACCACAAAGAAAGGGCGCGCTGATTGAATCACAGGCGCAGATCGTGCCCGACATAGACTACCAAAGTCTTTCCCCCACCACGACTCCCTGCTACTGCCTCATCGGCCGCATCGCCAGGGTTGCTAAGCAACCTTGCATCCAAACAAAAGCGCGCGGAAAAGGACCTCTAAGATACTTCAACAGCAGAATAAAACCATCAAACATGAATACATGTTTTCTTCAACTGTTCTTGGAAAGGATTTCTGGTCAAACTGGTACATGGAGCCCGAAATGCGAGAGAAGATCAATTTAGAGGTTATGTTTCACGCGCGCTAAATTGTTTGGGATGCGGTGCTTAGCACCGGGTGTGCAGCCGATGAGGTAGTAGCGGGGAGTCGTGGTGGGGGAAAGACTTTGGTAGTCTATTGACAGGACTTGAAGAGAGAAGGAGAAAACGCTGCACGAGTAGTGAGTTAGAGATCCGAACAATTTTGCCCATTTCTACAAAACAGTTAATGGACCCAATTTGAGACGCTAAACCAACGAAAAACTCACTTCAAATCCCATGAGACGACTTCATGACTTTTTCTTGACGGCACGGACCCGTCTGCATCCAAGACGTACACATAATTTGCAACCCAATTTTTTCCTCATCGAACGGTGGATGGCAGAGGTAGTGCATTGCGGGGGATGGGGGACGCAATGCCGCATGCGGCCATGCGGCCGTCGGCTCCGTCGGCTCGCCTCGGTCTGACGCTCAGACAACTTGACTTGATCTGATGGGACTGCTGCTGCGGCGGTTAGGCCCCTCTGAATATGGATGTGCTGACACAAGGCCACGAGGCCCGGCAGTGCCGAGCAGTGCCGAGGCAGTGCCTGGCAGCCGAATGGGCTGGGCTGAGCTTCACCGCCTTCGCCGAGGCCTCGCCGCCCCGCTGCACTGCGTCCGCGTCGCCAGCGTCGCCCGTCCCGTCATCTCCCGTCTCGCTCGCCCCGCCGTGCCGTCGCCCCGAGCCGCCCGCGGACCTCCCGTCGGAGGGACGGAGACAGAGGAGGCGGCGCGGCGGGGAGGCTGAGCGGGACGCCGAGCCGAGCCGCCGCGGCCCTGGATGAGTCGGCCATTAATAGTCATATACGCTATGCTGTGCCGCCGTGATGCCGCCGCGATGCCCTGGGCCTTCATGGCCTTCATGGCCTTCATGGCGCTGCCCGAGGCCTGCAAGGCGAGTGCCGCGGTCTTCCCTCTCCGGCTGGCTGCAGGATCACTAGCTGGGGCCACACGCCTCCACGCCGGGACTTCCCCATTTCCGTGGCAGGTGTTACCCACTGACTAATCCCTGGTCGGGTCATCCCGGAGAATCTACGTCGGGGTTCCCTGCCGGTGTGCCGTCGCGGTCCCCATGCCGGGCAGGCGCCAGGCGCCGAAAGCAAACCCGGCGGAGCTCGGCGGCCGTGGCGCGAGGCTGGCGAGGCTGGTGAGGCTGGCGAGGCGCGGCGAAGGTAAGGGGAGGCCCTGCCTGCCGCCTGCCGCCTGCCGCCTGCCGGGCACTGCAGGGTGGGGTTGCGGGGGCGTGTGAACGCGCGTGCGCACAGGGGGTGGGGCGTGGCGGGGCGAGGCGGGGCGCGGCGTGGCGACGCTGGGGCAGGCCAGGCAAGGCACGGCCGGCAGGGCGCCAGCGGAGCAGCGGAGCAGCGAAGCCAGGGCCTGCCAGGGCCCCAGTCCGCTAGGCCAGCGCCAGGAGCGCGGAGTGGAGCGTGTCGCCGCGAGCCGAGTCGAGTGAACCGAGCCGAGGCCGAGCCGAATCGAACTCGTCGCACCGAGGGCGGAGTGGTCGAGGCCGAGTGGCTGGGGTGGCGCGGTCGCGGCGCGGTCGCGAGTGTGGACTGTGGATACTCGTGTCACTTCTAGGCCTCCAGGCCTCTAGGCGACTCAAGTGCTGCACAAAGGGATGCCTCGCGCGGACGTCGTGGACGGCGTGGACGTGTGCGGACCTGGCCGCTGACTTTGGCATGGTGTGAGTACCAAACAAGGCCTCGTTGGCGCCGCCCCCGCCGCCCCCGCCGCCCCCTTCCGGGAAAGTGGAGTGGCGGTGCGCGGCGTTGTAGGGCGCGCGGCCCTCCGCCCCCCCCGCCCCCGCCGTGAATGGACGTCGTTGTGGCGGTGATGAAGACCGTGGTGGTTCGTTCCAGCACGGCACGGTCGCACAAACACCTCCAGAGCTTGCCCCCGCCCCGGCCGCCTTGTGTTCAAACAGCGTCCCCATAGCGCCACGCCGCGCCGCGCCGCGCCGTTTCGTCTTCATCCTGCCTTTGATGTTGTGCTTCCCGAGTTTGCGGTTCTGCCGTCGTCGGCGCTACCTGTGCGGGCGTCGGGCTGGAGAGTGGAGACCGCGATGCGGTACAACAGGAACCACGGAACCTCGCGATTTGCCGATCAGCTGCGTCGAGTTTTGATCGGCGCGTCGGGTGCACTGGAGGGAGCGCGCCGTGCGGGTAGGCAGTCCCGCGGCGCGCGCGTGAATGCCGTGCGCCTGGTGCCTACCCGGCAGGCGCTCGCTCCTCCCTCTTTTGCTCTTCCCGCTCTCTGCCCCCTTTGCCCGGTCCGGCTGGCATGCTGGTCGTCACGCCAAAATAATGACGACTCGTGGATTTCTTTTTGTACACAGCCCGGCACCGCCGTTGCGACAGAGGGCTGCGTGACCGTTTTTTCGACTTGCACGGGAAGAACAGTAATCCGAGATGAAGGAGCAAAAAAGTGAGGCTTTTTTTTTGTCGCGGCATGTTGTTTGCCGTGGCGCGGGCCGGGCCACGCGAAGCTACGTGAGATAAGCAGGGCCTAACCCCTCCCACCCGCCAGGCCGCGCCAGGCCGCGCCAGGCCACCCGGCCGTCGTAAGGTTAGGCCCGCCGTAAGGCCGCGCCGTCGCGAGGTGTAAGGTGTGTACGGTGTACGACGTGTACGGCACACCGTGCGGAACGCCGTGGCCGCTGGATCAGGGCGCCAGGGGGCGGAGAGGGGCTGGGGCTGAGCAAGACTCCCTGGAACCGGAGCCAGATGACACACTGGGAAAATCTACCGAGGCGTTTAACTCCCCCCCCCCTTTCCCTCCACCATCGAGGGCCCCGTCCAGCCCTCACGCGCGCCTCCGGGGGCCACCCCCAGCCATGACACCCCCGGGAAACCCCTGGGCCACCCCCAGCCCACGCGCAGCGCAGCAAGGCGCAGCAAGCCCCAGCGCTTTCCGCCTTCGTCGAGCAGGGCCTGACGGCCTGACGGCCTGGCGGCCTGGCGGCCTGACCGCGGCGGCAGGCGGACTTTCCCCCGCGAGCGGCGCGTCGCCGAGCCGCGTGGACGTGGAAGTCAGGCCGCCTGTGGACTGAGGCCGAGTGGAGGGTCGCTCTCTCGCACTCATGGGGCGCTCCGTTCCGGTGCGAGAGAGAAGGCCGACGGGCGCACTGTGCGTGGCGGAGGCTGGGGCCGAGGATGGGACTCTGGGCTGCAGACTGATTCCGCACAGTGCGGAGCGGCCCACCCGCATCACTCTGTCTCTCTCGCACTCATGGGTACTGTCGGTCGGCGGGGCCCCTCCGCACTGTGCGGAATCAGTCTGCTGGCGCGGCGGCGGGGCGGGGCGGGGCGGGCAGCAGCGCGACACGTCCCGCCGCGCCGCGTCGTTAGCGCACTCGCTCAATCCGCGACTGTACACTGTACCTGCCGGGCGTGCCGGGCCGGGCGTGCCGGGCCGGGCGTGCCGGGCCGGGCGTGCCAGCTGTACCGGCAGGCGGCGCGGCGGCCTTGCCGGTGATTAGGGCGGCACCGTGACGCACTCCGAGTAGTACAGCGGGATCCATTTGCATCTCGCATTTGCCGCTCGCGAGGCGGCGACGGCATGGACGCTCCTCGGGCACGTCGCCCCGCCCCGCCCCGCCCCGCCCCACCCCACCCCACCCCACCCCACCCAGCCGCGCCCCGCGGCCCGAAACAAGAAGGATGTGGGAAGCCGAGGGGGAATATATATTCAGGAAATCAGCAAGTTGGGACCGAGGCAAGTTTTGTCGAACAGCGAGCCGCCCTTCCGAGCCGCGCGCTTCGAGGAGTTGGCGCGGACTTGCGCGCTCCAGCTGGCTGCTGGCTCCCGCCACTTCATCCGGCCTGGAGGCTGGAGGCTGGAGGCTGTGGCCTGGAGGCTGGAGGCTGGAAGGGCCCCGGCGGCGTCGATCCCAGTCGAATCCAGCCGAGAGCCCTCGCTGCCACCAACAAAGAAGAAAACAAAAACAATCCGACAGGGGCGAAAAAAAATCCGGATGGCGTGTACCTGACAATCAGGGGTGTCGCCTGCCGACCCGGCCCGCCCGGCGCCGGGAGTTTGGTTTGCTTGTTTTGGTCCTTTCCGAGGTCCTTTCCCTTGTATTGGTTCTTTTGGTTCTTTCGCGGCGCTCGGCGCGGCGCCGCCGTGGAGAGGGGTGGGAAAAGGGACGGGCGGTGTCCCCAGTCCCCCAGCGCCCCAGCAGCCCAGCGGTGCGCAGCACTTTGCAGACGAGGCTTCAAAAGGAAACAATCTGGCGAGGTGATTAACATGCAGCCCAGGCCGAGGCCCAGGCCCGCACAGCGCCGCGCAGCCTCGGCGGCCACGGCACTGCGAATCGACCGATGAAAAAACAGGCGGAGCGAGGCGGGGCGAAGCGGGGCAGGCGGGGTGGCAGGGCGGCAGGGCGGCAGGGTAAATAGAAATCCGCTGCAGGAGGAGGAGAGCGCGCGGTCGTTCATCTGTCTCTGTCGCACCAAACAGTGCGTCCCATGAAGCGCGAGAGAGAAAGAGGAGCCCCCCCGCCTCCCCCAGCCCCGCCGAAGCGTTGAAATGTGCTCCAGCATGATGCCATGCCGACGCCGACGCCATGCCGAATCGCCCGAATCGGCCCCACTCCCACTTTCGCGCGGCGCGACGCGACGAGCGGGGATTTGTTTGGGCAACAGATTTCGTATTCACTGGGGCGCGCTTGAATGACGTCATCGCTCTTCTCGCAGGGAAGGTGTGTGACCGGGCGCCGGGCGCACGACGCCGTGAGATTTTCTTTTTGTTTTCGCTCTTTTTGTTGAACTGACTTCTGGCGCCGCGGAGTCGCTCCTGGCGGGCAGGCGGCGCGACGGTCCGCCGGATGGACAAACAAATAACGAAGCGACGCCGACACGTGGCCCCGTCTTGCCGGCTTCCAGGCGTCCAGGCGTCCAGGCGACCCCCCCCCCCCCCGACCCGGAAACAGGCGTCACCCGGACCGGCGGATGGCGCCCCCCGCTCCGGCGGGCTCCGGCGGCACAAGCCAAGCAACTCCGGAGGGTCGTTTCGTCGCGTTGTCTCTCTCGCACTCCAACGGGACGCTCCCCGAGTGCGGCGGAGACAGCGATGAAAACGGCGCTTCGGGATCAGTCCGCGGCGCGACGGATGGGGCCGCTCTTCCAGTGTCGGCACGCATTCCTCGCGCCTCGCCGTGCCGGCATATCGGCTGCCTGCTGCCGGCCCGCCTGCCAATAATCAATAGGTATTCAGGGGGGCTGGCGGGGCTGGCGGGGCTGGCGGGGCTGGCGGGGCTGGCGGGGCTGGCGGGGCTGCGGGCTGGGGGGCTGGCGGGGCTGGCGGGGCTGGCGGGGCTGGCGGGGCTGGCGGGGCTGGCGGGGCTGGCGGGGCTGGCGGGGCTGGCGGGGCTGGCGGGGCTGGCGGGGCTGGCGGGGCTGGCGGGGCTGGCGGGGCTGGCGGGGCTGGCGGGGCTGGCGGGGCTGGCGGGGCTGGCGGGGCTGGCGGGGCTGGCGGGGCTGGCGGGGCTGGCGGGGCTGGCGG